ATCTAACTGCTCGCACACCCACACTCACTCCTAACCACTACGACTGATACCCCGCTGGTGGCGGCGCTGCCCCCACGTAGCTCCTTGTGTAGAATCTGGGCACGAAGCGTCCACTGCCCGTCAGAGACGACCAGGTGGGCTCCCGGATGAGCTGCTGGCGCTGGCTGGAGCCGTGGTCGGCGCCCACCACCTTCAGGTAGTTCTGGTGCAGCCGGTGCGTCTCGACGGTGCGGTAGCCGTCGCTCTTCTCGCGGTAGAAGGTCTTGCGGATGCCGTAGCTGGGTACGGGGAAGGAGAAGCCGGTGACGGGTCGGTGGTATGGTGGTGGGAAGGGAATCACGGGAGGACGCGGTGTGAGGACTGGTGGAGAGGTGTCGGAAGGCGAGCTGGACGAATCGTCCGCGCTGTCAGAGAGAGTTTCGGATTCAGATTCGTTGGATTCAGACGCCTCAGACTGCTCAGACTCGGTAGTCTCGTCGGCGGCTGGTGAAACCTCAGCCTCGCTGCTGCTGGCAGTTTCGCCCTCATCAGCTGCGTCGCTGCCGCTCGAGATTGAGTCTGAGGCTTCGGCGGAGCTGGTGTCGCCGTCGCCCAACACTGAGCCAGCGGCGGAAGAGGTTAGGGAGACCTTGACATCAGTCTCTGTATCAGCCACTTCTGCGGTTTCTGTGTCTTGAGCTTCCACAGCGACGCCGACATCAGCAGCGGGAGTCTGCTCGACGTCGAATATCTCGTACAGGACTGCTGACGTAGAGTCGTCGTCTGCGTCGGGTGTGCTGTGGTCGGCTGCTTCAGAAGTGTCCAGCGTATCTGAAGAAGAGGACGAGGCTGAAGCTGAGGTCTCAGAGCTGGCGTTCACTCCCTCGACGCTGCCGCCAGCTTCAGATGAGATGGATACTTCACTGTCAGATGATGAAGAGGAAGACTCAGATGAGCTAACATCGTCGGTATCGATGCCTTCACCAGAGCCGTCTACTTCGGGAGCAGCATCTGCTTCACTGTCTTCTGCGATGTAAACAGATGTCGAGTCGGATGTGATATCATCGCTGCTATCGGGGGCTCCCGAAACTTGGGATGAAATGTCCACTTCACCGTCTGAGGAAGAAGCTGTGTCTTGAGAGCTGGCGTTGTTGTCTTCTTCGGTGGTCACAGAGCTTTCAGATGAGACGCTGACTTCGCCCTCTGAAGAAGCTGACGCCGAGTCGATTGATTCTGAAGTTTCATTTTCTCCTTCAACGGAACCCGACGCCTCGGACGAAATATTCACATCGGTTTCCGAAGTTGACGAAATCGCTTCCGAATCCGATGACTCCGTTTCCGCTTCTCCGCTGGTTTCTGCAGAACCTGATGCTTCAGATGAAACGTTGACCTCCGCCTCGGAGGTCGGAGACGAACTTGCTCCTGAATCGGCGTAACCCTCATCGCTCTCTTCGACAGCACCGCCTGCTTCAGCTGAAGTGGCATCGCCACTGTCTTCCTCTTGACTGGCGCTGGCCTCTGCTATCTCCTCCTGGCCTGTTTCGTCTTCTCCGTCGTCACTGACGTTTTCGGCATCGGCCTCTCCTTGATTCGTCTCCACGCTCTCCTGTTCCTCCTGTTGATACTGAGGTTGCACTTTTGCCCTCAGCTTGCGGCCGTAGCCCGACTGAGGCACGGGGAGGTATCCGAGGTCAAGCACAGTGGGGTCGTTCCAGTATGGGAGCGTGTCTTCGTAGCTCTCTTCGGCGGATGATGAGGATTCATCGTCGGCTGAAGAGCCGGAACTGGAGGTGTCGGAAGATGATGAGGACTCGCTGCTTTCCGAGGATGAGGACTCATTGTCGCCCGAAGAAGAGGACCCACTGTCGCCTGAAGAAGAGGACTCGCTGTCGCCTGAAGAGGGTTCACTATCGCCTGAAGAGGGCTCACTATTGCCTGAAGAGGAGGAAGACTGGCTGCTCTCCGAAGAGGTTGAGGATGATGCGGAGGAGGATTCTGAAGAAGCACCTTCGTCACCTCCCACAGATCCCGAGGCTTCCGAGGAGACGCTGGTTCCCGTTCCACTTGCTGAAGAGGATGCTGAAGATTCCTCTGAAGCAGATGAAGAAGATGACGATGCCTCCGAAATTATGTCTGCTCCTGTGCTGCTTGATGCAGATGCTGACTCAGTCGACTCCGAAGAGGCATCGCCTTCGCTGACTACTGATCCAGACGCTTCGGACGAAATGTTAACGTCCAATTCACTAGTCGACGACGTCTGGGAGACTTCTGCTGTCTCACTGTCCTCATCAACCACAGCTCCAGAAGCCTGGGATGAGACTCTCGCCTCTTCTGCTTCCCCTCCAGTGGCGACATCCGCCCTGGTCCTGAACAGTGTGTCTGCCGCGCCCGCCGCTGACGACTGCCAGTTCTCGCCGTTGAAGAGGATGCTGGACGGCGGGCGGAACGACTCGTCCAGGATGGCTGAGACCACCCCGTGCGGACCTCCGGCGGCCGCGTGCCGGTCGTGGACGCTGCCGGCTCTGTAGCGGCGCACGGGCCGCGGTGACGGCAGCTTGGCCAGGCGCGGAGGGGCCAGCTCGTACTGCGCCACCGGGAAGTAGGTGCCCCAGCCGTGACGGGGCTCCGCGCGCGGCTCGAGGCGGGGCCGGGACGCCCGGTTGAGCCGCGGCTTGACTGCGAGATCGAGATGATGCTCTGGTGTTGAGTCGTGCCGTGACTCCGGTGGTAGACTGAGACGCGGTTTGGACTGGCGCAGACGGAGCTGGGGACTCGGTGCGGCTGCGCTGACGGCCAACAGCGCTGCCACCAGCAGCGGGCCAGTGACCTGAGAACATCAGACGGGGGGAGGCGGGTCTCAGGTCACGTAACATCGAGGTAGCTGCTCCATATAAGACGCCACATGTTTTTTTAATGCATAAATGTTGGATGCATGAATACAAAAAATGGACTACCCTTTGAAAGAACAATCTGAACATATATTTACAAAAGCGATATTACCAAGTACCATATATGCCAAGTGCCAACAACACGAAATAACATGAAGGCCACTTTGGCACTCATCGTAGATTGAAAGCAATGGCTTACCTTCATAACTGATCTCCTTTTAATCACTTCTCGTCCCACCTCACCCAGACTCCCTGTCCGTTATCTCAGACAACACACACTTCTGGTCCTGTCTGGACGGATCAGTGGGGCCGCGCGCCCCGCGAGCCGGTCTTATATGTGACGAGGGGGCCCCGAGGGCACCGAGTGTGGCCCGTCACCGGTCCCCTGTACCCCGGCGCGCCCCGACCTGACCCACCGCGACCGGACCGGCTGGGTGGGGACAGCCGGCCGGATAAGGAGCGTACTGCCGACCCGGGCCCGTCGGTCGGGCCGCCACGACGGCTCGGAACGACTCGGGTCTGTTGATAACGGTGACGGCCAGTTTGTCGGCAGGGAGGCGTCGGTCCCTCTGTCTCAATACGCGTGCCCATAGCGATATCGAATACGAAAAGCTTTGCGCCGTCCTTCATCTCTTGTTTCTGAATCTGCATTATTTCAATACATGATGGTGATGGTCTTTCGGGCAAACAGCGGTAGAAAGTTAATTGGCGTTGTAGCTATATCGGGCTGTCGTGTAATCGTATCGAACTGCCAGCGGTAGTGCCAGGGTTTCGCTGATGTTATAGCTGACAATGCTGGTATTGAAGTCCGCGCCAAGGGGCCACAAAATGATTGAAAATCTCCCGGACGGATTTTACCTTCGTGCTCTGGAGCGAACTGAAAATATGTGATATTTGTTTATATGGTGCGGGCGATAAAAGATAATTTTATCTTCCATTCGGAGCCATGAAGAATCCTCTATATCCCTGCACTGTAGACCCAATGGCAAATAAACCTCAACTAGAAAGATGTGCATATTGACTGAGGAAATTTATATTGAAAACATCTTCCAAATTTTTTGAACCTGCAGTGCGCGGTCTTTACCTATTTATCGCCTCTCGGAAAACGCCGATTGCAATTACCATACAGGAGCTATTTTTAGATTGAACAATCCACATGTACGAGTATGCCGGTAAATCTGAAACCATCTTCCAATTAAGCGATGACAGTCCGCCCCGATGTGTACGTTTTGTCGTTCATTAGCCGTGGCCTGTGCCGTGTTTATTAATGGCGGTCTGTGGCGAAGGTGCACCGATATCTGTTACCTAACACACGCATCGCAAACTGATGAAATAACCGGATTTTCATGGCGACGGGTTTCGTCTGCCCTGGCGTTCCACAGGAAATGTTTAAAAAAGTCGTCTAGGTGTTTGGGTTTGTTGTTTTGAGTTACATGCTTGGTGGCACTCATGACCGAGTGTTTGAGGTGTTTGGAGGCGAAGGGACTCGGGGCCGATCATACCTGCTTTTTCCAAGAGGTCTCGATACACCGAGGTCCGATGTTTGTGTGATTGCTCCCTGGCATGGAATCGCGTAATGTGTATGTGATTTCAGTGTGTGGCTTCCTTGTGCGACTTCCAGTGATTGTGTGATGTGATATTCTTCCAGCTGCTGTCTGACTCTCCCGCCCTGTGTCCCCCTTCCCCAGTCCCCCTTCCCAGTACCTTCGCGTGGTGGAGCGTCTACAAGCCGCTGTGACTCCCCCCCCCCCTCCACAGTACCTGCGCTCTGACTCTCCCTTTGTCTCCCCACAGTACCTGCGCGTGGTGGAGCGTCTGCAGCCGCTCTCTGACTCCCCCCCCCCATCTCCTTCACAGTATCTGCGCGTGGTTGAGCGTCTACAGCCGCTGACTCCCCCCCCCCCCTCCACTCCACAGTACCTGCGCGTGGTGGAGCGTCTGCAGCCGCTCTCTGACCCCCCCCCCCCCCCCCTCCTCCACAGTACCTGCGCGTGGTGGAGCGTCTCCAGCCGCTGTGTTAATTCTCCTCTCCCCCTCCACAGTACCTGCGCTCTTACCCTCCCTCTCCCCCTCCCCAGTACCTGCGCGTGGTGGAGCGTCTCCAGCCGCTCTCTGACTCTCTCCTCCCCTCTCCCCCACAGTACCCACGCGCGACGGAGTCTCTGTAGCCGCTGTCTGACTCTCCCCTCCTCCACCACAGTACTCGTACCTGCGTCCTGACTCTCCCTCTGTCTCCTTCACAGTACCTGCGCGTGGTGGAGCGTCTGCAGCCGCTCTCCATCACCGAACAAGAGTACGTGCTGCTGCGGGCGCTGGTACTGGTCAACTGCGACATTGCCGTGGAGAACGCGCCGCTGGTCCGCAGCATGCGCGATACCCTGATGCAGAGCCTGGCCGACTGTGTGGCCGCCATCAGGTGAGAGCGGCGGGAGAGAAGAGAGTGCGGGAGGGCGAGAGGGGAGACGGTGAATGGGATGAATGAGAGGCTGGGAGTGTTAAAGGGCTGGTAGAGCTAGAAGTGATGGAATAGGGTGTCCAACTAATACATTTTAATGAGTTTGTTTGAGGTTCTAGTTGATGTTGGTTAAACATGGTGTCGTAGGTTAACCCGCGCCCTGCTGGGGGGGGGGGGTGTTTGAACACCCCCCCTTGTGGTTTTTCGCGAATATCTCAAAAACGGCGGCGCTCCGCGCCGCCGTTTTTGGTACACCTTATCATACATCAATTCTACACATGTTGTGAAAATTTCAGACCAAGGTCATTCAAGGTCAGGTCACCAGGTCACTTGAAGTGACCTCACCTCATAAAAAGTTTCAATGTCTGTCATAGCTACACCGAGTGACCGATCGCTTTGAAACTTTCAGCGATTGCTAAGAGCAACAGCATGTACAAAATGTATGTCTCAGAATTTCGATATCGATGACCTAAGGTCAGGTCAATTTTGCGACCTCCCCATTATAAGTCAATGGGAGAAAATTGAAAAGCGCCTCTTTTGGACGAAAGACATTATTAACACTCCCAAACACTGAATTACAAGTGGTTTAGACACACTGGACATGAAAATGGTGTACGTGACCCCTGTTTATGCCCTGAGGTCATCTTAGGTCACGAATGGTATCTAACAGTTTTTCGCAAATAACTTTTGATAGAGGCATGCTAGAGCGATGAAAACGCCTTAGATGTGTTCAGTTCGACGATACGGATCGACTGATATGCAACATGACCCTTTCCGGTCAGGTCATGACCTTGACCTGAGGTCAAATTTTCAAGTTGACCTTTCAAGGTCAAGTTATAGTTCATTCGATGCGTCTTGACGAGAGGAACACGATGCCGGTAAAAGTAAGCTCCTACAAGGCTTGGGTCAAAAGTTATTACAGAAAAACTGTTTCCGAAAAAATCGGCTATTTTTGCAGTTTTTGCCCCCTGCAGGCAAAACCGTTGACGTTAGGTCAAATCTGAGATAATTACTCAGAAAGGGCGTTAATAGGGCTATCGAATGCGCTTTTCCGCGGCGCTGTAGCTCTATTGGTTCCCGAGTTATGCGTTGGCTTCTTGGAAATTGTCGACATTCGACCTGGAAATCGGCGAAATTTTGCCTTCAATGACCTTTGGTGACCTGACCTTTGACCTGATCAAAAAATTGACCGAAGTGATTTCCTCATTATTTTTGACGCTCTTTCGAACGCCGCCTTCCGCGTATTGCTACGTGGCCCAGGAGCCGAGTTAGAAGGGGGGGGGGGTGTTCAAACACCCCCCCCCCCAGCAGGGCGTGGAAATCCAGGACCCCCAGCCGGGCGCGGGTTAATAAGAACGATGGGACGGATTATTGTCAGTTTATGGCACCTCCAGTGCATCTGTGTGATGATTGTGATGGATCGTATGGCGACGCCCATAGATGCTACGCCGGTCTGCTCGCCATACTTGTTATGGTGTCTTTGAGGTGTTTGGTCGTACGTTTAGCTGACATCTTCTCCCTCACGGTTGTCTGCAGGCCCGCCAGCGGCGCAGCCAGCCACACTCAGCAGCTGCTGCTCTGTCTGCCCGTGCTGAGACAGGTCGACCCGGTGGTCAAACAGTTCTGGATCAACACGCGCCAGGACGGCAAGATCCACATGGACAAACTGTTCATTGAGATGCTGCAGTCGCAGGCGCGATAGTGGCGCCCCTGGCGGCGGCCGGCGGAAACTCGCGGGCCCGGCGCTCGGCGCTGCTGCCTGCCTGCCGAGGGCCGCGGGGTGGCGCCAGGTCGCGCTGTGTGACCTCCAGTGACCTGTGGTGACTTGGGGTGTGCCGATCGGCCGCGCGAGCCGGCGACAGGTGGGAGCGTCTCTCACCGCTCTGTGGACCCAGTCCAGTGCCACTTCTGTGATGGAGTACAGCTACGTGAGGAGAGAGTGGGGAGCGGGAGAGAGGGAGAGGGAGGGAGCGACGCGGCCGGCAGGGCTGCCGAAGCCACGGCGCTTCAATAGCTCTTCCCTTTTCTAAGATCTTTTAGTAACAAACTCTGGCATTATGGATTGTTTCTAGCCAAATCTTGTTTTGTATATTCCATAGTCGTATACGTTTTACAGTGCTGCGTTTTTAGTTGTTCCATGGATCCGACTGGGCATTTGTATCTTGTCAGGTGGGCAGGACCCATAGTTGTCACAGTGCGCGCGCGGGTGTGTGATCAATTTGTACGCTGTGTGTTTGTGTGTTTGTGGTTGTCTGTGTCACGCGCGACCGGGAGCGCCGGTACGCTAGCGGGTGCCTGCTCCGATATCTGAGTGGCGAGCGTGTGCAGGCATCATGGAACGCCGTCGCCTTGGCCGCAGGGGCCAACCGACTCTGTGAGGCGCGCGGCGAGTTCAGGGTAGACTGATGTGCCGCGATTGGCGGTCACGGTGCCCCCTCCTCGCGACGAGACGGAGTGGCAATCCGTCAGAGTAGCGTAGTCATTTCATACCGACCGGTGTGTGTGATGGAGTGAGTGATACTGGTGTGCGCTGGCGCGTCTCACGGCTAGCGGATGAGTCATTTTTTTTTTTGGTGCGCGAGTGATGGCGAGTGCGAGTCATTTTTTCGGCGGGCGCGGAGCGGGCGTGGTGGTGGTGAGTCGGTTGGTGCCTGGCGCCCCCTGGAACCCTCGCGCCTCTGGGACCAACTCGGTGACCGGCGCCCGGCGACTGGCGCCCCAGTCAGTGGTCGGCAGCGGCGCGGCCGGCGCCCAGTCTTCTCCCGGTGGCGCCACGTGCCCTAGGTGGCGGTCGAGGCTCCGCGCGCCCTGCCCTCCGCCCTCTGACAGATCAACACTCAGGCTCGGACGGCGCCCCGTTCTGTTTTGTTTTCCGACTCCCGAATCTGGAGCGAGTCTGTTGAGTTTCTGGGCGGCAATTGTTTATCTTGTTTTAGTGCACCTGACCGCTGGTGTCTGGCGATAGTTCGACCGCCGCTCCCAGCGGCCAGCTTCTGTTTTATTATTTAGCGCCGTGACCGGCGTGTATGCCGCGTCCAGCGCGTTTGTTAGATTCCCAGCCGGCGAGCGGAGGGTGGGGAGAGGTGCCCGGGCGCCAGTTTGCCCTCTATGCGCCCCTCTATGCAGTGCGGGGGGATCGAGGCTTCTCAGCGCCGCCCGGGGGTAGGTCATGGCCAGGAGCCGGTCCTCCGTATATGCCAGCCTATGCATCTGGCGCCGATCCGCCGCGGAGAGTCGCGTGTGGCGGCTGCGCTGGTCAGTGCGCGCCCCTCCCTCGTCGCCCCGCTCGCCGCTCGATCCGAGTGTGATATGTTACAGTCTGTCAGCTATGACTCGTTTCCGCTGAGTTGTTGTTTCCAGTCCGAGCCGCTCCTCGGCCGGCTGTCCAGGTTGTTAAGTTCATCCTTCATTTGTTGGATTACCTGCCACTCTGTCTCGGTTCTCCCTCCCTCTCTCCCCGTCCCCTCCCTTCACTCTCTCCATCCCTGTATGTGTGAGTCAACTCTGTCCAGTACAAACTTTTTTGTATTTAAGCGTCTACCGGGGTGCCCTATGCAGGCGGGCATATTGGTGTTGGGTGTTTGATTATCTGTCCCTCTCTGTCTGTCTGTCCGTCTGTTCGTCTGTCTGCATGCTAGCGTGGGTCGTGCGCCGCCACCTCCCCAGTCTTTGGGAAGAGGGTGCGGAACGGGCGACCTGGAAGGAATATCATGTGTGCGTGTTTTGGTACTTGAGTGTTCATTGAGTGTTCGGAGGTCGAATCTGAATTTGAAATGCGTGCGAGACGAGTGTTTTTGCTGTGAGAGGCTGAGAGAGTCAACGAATTAGGGTTGAACTGAGCTACAGAGTACGTGGTAACGAACGTGAAACTTCGGGAATGGGGAGCTCAATGTTTCATTTAAACCTGTCAACATCTCGCACCATTTTCACGACGAGCAAGTTTGAATCATCATGGCCTGTGTCACTCCATCAGTATCCCGTGGCAACCCGACACCCGTTTGTTTCTCCTTATCTACACACCGGTGGATGTGAACAATTTACTCCACCTAGTGCGTCGTAGTACATTTTTTCAAGGAGAGCCTGCGCAGCACTGTCGACGGGGCCGGCTAAACACAGTGCGGTCCTGTTTGTATTTGGACGGGACCGTCTGCCGCTGCTCTCAGCAGTATCATCCTGAGGCCCACTGGTCTGATAAATTATGCGAGACTGACCGATGGCCCGCCCAGAGAGGCCGTTCGGCTGTGATGCAATGTCGCTGCTTATCTAAAATGTTCGTCGAATTTGGTTTAATCCCGTGTTGATGTCGCTGCATATCTTCAGTGTTCGATGAGTTTGGTAAAGTCCCGAACTGCTTAGTTCAGATTTAGGATGTTGGTGCGCACATGCACAAGCAAGACCTTGGAATACAACTAGTGATTAAATTGTCTTGCGCCCAAACATCCCCACACTAAAAACTCATTCGCTGGATATCGAAAACCGATATTCTAGCCTAGGCGTTGATCAAATGTCTTCGACCAAATTTTTCAAGGAAAGTTAAAACATAAAAAACGTATCGGTAGCCTTATTTGATCCGTAGATGCTTACAGCGTGAATAGAAGATCCAAGCGCGGCCTGTATTGCGCTCAGGCGGGGTGTGAGGTAGGCACACGTGGCGCGCCCTCGATTACGTCACCGGGGGTGTGGTCAGAGGTCAGACGTCAGACACGCCTTCTGTGATGGGCGTGTGCGGCCGCTAACCAAACCACGCCGCCACCGTTTACATTGGAGCCACCGAGGCCTATACCGGAGCTACTACCTACGCAGTTACATAACCACGCCGGCCGCCATTGATCGGTGCAAGGACTGGGAGGTCGAGCGGGGTATATTTCAGCGGGACCCGGGTACGAACCCGGAGACATTCTTGAAATACCAAGTTGATTGCAGAATAATTATTTGTACAGCTGGTCGGCTAAAAGTTTAGGAGCCGTTTGAATTCAGGGAAACGCGAGCATTTGCTTGCAAGGTGGCCATGTGTCGTCTTAGAAGACCGTCTATTGAAAATGCTGTCAGATGAAATGTGATGAGCAAATTGTGTTCAGCTGATGGGTAAAAGCTTATTGAAGCCTGACCCTGCCAGGTGAAGTTGAGCTCTGAACCGGCACATCGCTTTATTTTGTCATAAGGCCGATCGCAGTAGGTATTCGCTCATCGATAAATTGAATGTTTAATGAATGTCCTCATATTAAAATGGCATGCGTAATTGGATGAACAAATTAGTTTTCATAATATCTCACAAGCTCAATACCTCATTCAAATATGTCCTTCCCGTGATCCAGTGCCTGGCGTGACCTTTTCTCCTCCATCCCAATCCGGCACGTATCCCGGTGCCCCTGTTTGCCCTCGCCGCCAACAGATGTCTCTGGCGTCACCCCCGGCTCCGTCGCGGGCGGCGCCGGCCGGTGTCTTCTTTGCGGCGCCGACGCGAGATCCTCGCAGTCGCAGCTCTGTGGCGGCACAGGATTGACGTCAGAGTTCCAGCGCATCTGTCAGAGATCAGCCGAGGCTCGCAGCTGCTACCTGAAGTTCTCCAGAGGTCACCATGGGTCCGCAGAAGTCGGCTGAAGTCAGCAGGATCACCGAGGACGGTGACATGATGGGCGGCGACGTCTCCGACGACCTCATCATTGCCAGCGGCGAGAGGAAGGTGGCCATCGTCGGAGGCGGACTGGTGAGTGAATGATCATTTCGGTGCGGGCCGTGGTAAGGGAGTCGTGCAGAGATGCATACATGTGATAATCGCTGCCTGATAAAAGTTATTTCCATTGCCCCATGTGATCATTTTTATGTCTCCTAAGTCCCAATGATACCAGTCGGGACCTCTTCGGAATAGACATCATTTGGCACACAAATCCCCTAACCGTTCTACAGAGAATGATTTTTTAAATACACGTGTTAGGCTGGATATAATGCCACGTTCGAGCTTTGGCTTTTGGGGTGGGCGGCCTTTGGATGCATGGTCCTCCCTCTATACCTTGTCTGACCTGTCTGGCCTTAGCGCGCACTCCCTGTCTGCCTTCCCTCCCTGTTGTTTCCCGATCCGTCTCACAGAAGATCCCAGCAGCTACCAGTGGGGTGACCCGGGCCCGGCGCCGGACCTATCGACCTCACAGATCACCGATCGCACCGCGATCGGCCGGCTCGGGCCGGCGATCAGCTGACCAGCCAGCTGATCGGCCGACCGCCAGCCGGGCTGGTGGAGTGGGGATGGACAGCGCTGGACTGGGTTACACGGGGACGACCAGGGTATACCCACTGAGTGCTGGAACCCACTGGGATACCGAGTGCTTGGAAATGGGTTTATTGAGTAAAGAATTGTAAAGGGCGTTTAATAACTCATTTGTTACAATATCTCTCCGGGCGGGTGAGCTTTGATGCAACTTATTGTTCAGATCAGAAAGAAGTTGAATGTTCACCGAACTGTGGTAACTGATAAGAGTCAGACAATTTGGGCGCTGTTCAGTCAAAAGGCAATTTCAAAGTCACTGTCGGGTAAGTCAAGGCCTCGCATTATGTCCTTATTAGAGGCCGAAGCTCTTCTGAACCTTCCAAACCGTTCAAATTAGCCCCGTGTTAACTGCACTTGTTATGTAAAAATGTTTGTTTAATCGTCGCATCGATTACGGATATGTCCAAGTAGTTTAAAGCTGCCCATGCAGCGCTCTCGCGACCCGACTAAATTACTCCAGCTATAAATAGTTCCCACTGATCTATAGCTCCACCGAGGCTGAATCGACCAAGGGACTAGCATTCCACCAAAGAAGCCCGCGAGGAGTCCATCGATCAAATGTAATGCGCGTGAATGCAAAGGTCGGAGATTACCGCTAAAATTATACCGATTACCTCACATTACCGCTAAAAATAGTGGCCACTTCGCCCTCCTCGGTTACTCTATATGAATTACGCACGAGTGTCCTCCCGTGGGCCCTGACGAGGGTGGTTAGACTTCAGGGAAATATCGCCGGGGACATAAGGGATGGACGATTCGCCTGTGGGTCTCTGGGGCGGGGGAGTAACCCTCAGGTAACACTTACCTTCAGGTACGGGCGTGACGCAAAGGTAGTGAGGCAAATCTAAAGGCCAACCTACAGATGTTCTGAACTGAAGAGTTATGTCACGGCACTCCTCTATGTATAGCTACTTGATGTCTGTGAATGTCAATTAGCGTTCCGTCGCATGCGACTGAAACGTCTAAAATGCTTCTGATGTAAATTTCGATCAAAGCTTTTGATAGTACGATTTGACGACACGTGTGTTAGGACAAGCTATGAGAAGCTGTTCCGTTTCCATGATGCGTCTAAATCGAAGGAGTGCCAATATTATCGATTCTTTCGTGCCGTAGGTAAAGGTCCAGGAGTATGACCGTTGGACCGTTTGAAGATAGCGTCGATTCGATATTATGAGACGGATAACATATTCGGGTGGACGCGTTTGTTAATTACGTAATTGATATAATTGACAATTACGTAATTAAGAATAACGCCAATTACGTTAATAGGCCTACCTTTGCCGATTGGCGATTGTATGTACCTACCTAACAATTATAATTGGTTATTGCCTGGTTCAGATATACCTAACGTAAATTAGTTCGTTTATTTTCGCATTCTATTGCCCATTACGACTTCGATTATATCTTGGTTACCTACTATAATTTACACCTCCTATTTTTTAACAACCTTATCAGACTTTATCTCGTTTACGTACTGTTGCTGATTTTTTACAGCAGGGGCATTCCACGTCAAATCGAACAAAAATCGGCTGTTTTGCACCTTACCATCAGCGATTTCATTATAAATTTGTGAGCGAGTTCCTGTGTCGCCCCGGACATTACATTGATGTTTTTTGCACATTCTGACCACAGGTCTTCTATATATAGGGCATCAAATTTTTACAAAATGTTGCATCTTTATATTTTTGAACGACCATAACTTTGGTTGTACTTGTTTGATTTGAATGAAATAAACCTTACTGTTTAGGTAATTTCTTAAGCATTTGTTTAGAATTGCATCGACTTAAATATATGACCTTGAAATTTGCTTAACTCTGTTCTTAAGCACAAAAATTGAAATAGCAAAAAACACGCCACCTTCGATTTGGCTCATTTTCATATATTTTATTGCCTACCATGTTCTTAACAACCTGTGAAAAAATTAGAGTGGGCCATTCATAAGTTTTGAAGAAAATGGCACATATGCAAACGCATGTTAGCACGCGCAGTGGAGGGGGAAGAGTGAATTTCGCCCCACCCCTCCTGTTTTTCGCCAATATCTCATAATATTGATGCGAAATTACTTATGGCTACCTGTCCAGAATTGAATTCCACATCTCATCGTGCAAGCAATAAGAAAATCGGCTCACAACTGTTCTAGTAATAGCGGTGTAAAGTGAACATCCTGTCGCCGCGGCGACGCGGCGACTCGGCAGCCGGCGCCGACCGCTACGCGCCGCCTGAATTGTAGACTGTGCCGGGACGGAACGGAACGGTTCCGTCTTTACATCGCGCTCCTTACCGCTGATTACGTTCGATTCGCGTCAAATTTTGTGAGAAGACTAAGAAATGTACAGGCAATCTTATGGTGAAAGAATTCTGAAAATAGGTTAGTAAACAATTGAAATATGAACGTGTAAACACAAAATTGTGACTGCTGCGTTTCCCGCGTCGGCCGATCCCGCCTCAGCCGGCGACATGTTACTCTTAGCAGGACTCTAACTGCCATATTTATTATCGGATTAACTAAAAATTCCCCATACATACTCAAAAATGTATGTTCTTTCGTATAGTGAAGATCAAAAGACGTGAAGATATCGTTGCGTGATAATGTTTTCGTTGAATTTATTTCATGATGCATTTCCACACGGCTCAAAATTCACCGCAAAATACCGTTTGCCTGAGACACTTTTACAATGGAACGTGAATGCTTGACTACGATGACTATGCATTTCCATTCTTGCAGAGTTTGGGATATCACTAATCAGCAATCATTCATTTCAGAAAGTGTACACAAGCAAGCATGTCTTGACTCTGTCTTTCAAGGTCACGCGCGGTTGCGTGATGTTGATGCATGAAAACGGCGTTTGCCGCGAAAGTTATGAATGGCCCACTCCATTTTTTTTTCACAGATGGTTAGGAACATTGTGACGGACATAATATGTAAAAATTACTCAAATCGAAGGTGGCGAGTTTTTTGCTATTTAAATTTTTGTTTTAATTCAAGGTCAAATGCATTTCAAGGTCACTTCAATTTAATTTTATAATTAAAAATCAAAGCCTTATCAATTGCCTACAAGACCCTGTTAATATCATTTTGATACCAGAAAAGGAACCAGAGTTATAAGCATTTAAAAAAATGATGTGTGGCATTTTTGGCTATATTCGATGACCTATATCTCGGCGATACGTTATCAAATTTCGAAAATATTACACGTAACTCAGTTTTGAACCATGCCCAGTCTGCATACAAATTTTCAGAAAAATCGAAGGGGATGACGGATTTCGGTGTTTGATTTGACATGGAATGCCCCAGCAATGATGACGTGCATTGCCTTTTGATCCGATTCTTTCGCAGCCCTTCTTACCAAGTCATCTGTATTTATTGATTATATTGCGCTGCATCCCAATTGAGTTCAACAGGTGAAATGATCACCGTTGTTTGCTATCCCCTTTCTCCTGCAACGAGCAAAAACGCCATTGATAGGCTGGGTATGGTGTTGCCGTTGTTGCGGCCGTGCTTTGTGATGAATCATGAACATTTGAGCGAGACTACCGTCGACAGTGACGACAGGAGCCGTTTATTTCCCGGGAGGCCAAAAACACGATAAATTAAGATCGTTATAAAAACCAGTCCGGAGAGCCTTCCCCCTGTTTGGGGATGCCCCCGTGGCACACTTATTGCTAACTATTATTGGACATGCAGTCATGCTATCATGTCAGGGTAATGCATTGCTAGGCTGAGGCTCACTATAGGTCACCTTGTGCATGTGGAGTACTTTAAACATCGTTGCTCGTATTTTTTGTTGATAAAGCATTTATTAATAAAACATAACAGTTTATTGAACTACACGAGGTAGTTTCTTACCACAGCATAGTAATATATGTAATGCATATTTTTACCCGCGCACCGACGGGGGGGGGCGGATATCCGCCCCCCCCCCCTGAGGTTTTTCGCGGATAGCGGGAAAACCGGCGGCGCTACGCGCCGCGAAATTTGGTACGACTATTCTTTCATCAATTTTACACATGGTGTGCAAGTTTGAATCTCCTAACTTTTAAGGTCAGGTCACCAGGTCACTTTGAATGACCCAACCTCAAGTCACTTTTTTGCAACTTTGCCACCGTGCCAGAGCTACAGTAGATGTCGGAGGCCTTTGAAAGTCGCAGGATGTTATAAGGTCATTAGTAGCTACAATTTGTTTATCTCGGAATTTTGATGTCGGTGACCTAAGGTCAGGTCAATTTCGTGACCTCCCCATTATAAGTCAATGGGGGAAAAATCAACTCCCTGTTTTTACCACTAAAATGGGTCGGAATGGCCCCATATACCATACATGACTTCATATACGATCAACCTTCACTACCTTGAGGTCTGTTTTGCTGTTGGGCAGCTGTAAGGTCATGTGACGTCATCAAAGGTCACCAGCGGTTTTTTGCCAATAACTCCGTACAGGAACAAGATACAGCCGCGCGGATGGTCTCATTGTGTTCAGCTCGTCAAGACGCATCGAATGATATACATGATGACCTCGAGGTCACGTGACCTGAGGTCAACCTTTGACCTTGACCTTTCGAGGTCAACATATATATCATTCGATGCGGATTGACGAGAGGATCACGATGATGCCCTAAGTTTGTTCCTATCTTGACTAATTCGAAAGTTATTCGAGAAAAACTCTCCATATCTAGCGCCGCCATTTTGACTTTTTCGACCCCTGTGACGTCATCTTTGACCTGACCTGAAAATGATCTTTTTAAAAATTGTAGACCTTGTCCGTGCGTATCCGATGCCGTTTACTGCTTGTCGCTATCTTGCTTCGTTCTTGAGATCTCAGGGGGGGCGGTCATCCGCCCCCCCCCGTCGGTGCGAAGTTGGCGCAGACCCCCGTCGGTGCGCGGGTTAATATCAATACCTACCTGCTCCTCCAACGTCTGAAGTGTTCTCGTGCTTGTGTACCCTCAGGTGGGCGCTCTGAACGCCTGCTACCTGGCCCGCCGTGGTGTCGAGGTACACGTGTACGAGTACAGAGGAGGTAAGTCCATCGTCCCTCGCTGCTTCCCTAATGGGTAACTTGGGGGCCTGCATGGGTCACAACAGAGGCAAGGGAATTACCAACGGCCAGGAAATACTTTCACGTCCTAATATCGATTACCATTATCTATTTTATATGGTTACATAAATTGTCTTTTGTTAAGCGGACATTAACGTTTTTCTAACGTTGCATAACGCGTATGCAATCGCTTCCGTATCACGCGCGCTAGCGTTTCGTAACTTCAGCAAACATTATTGACGGGGCATAGTCGCATAACGGCGGGTCGCATGCTTATACCAAATACGACGACCGAATCCTCTTCGAATGTGCTTAGCAACCAGTAGCAATGGACTTGACCGGATTGTTGATGTCAGTAGAGTTATGTAACTGCTTAGTATTGGTGAAGGCTCGTGCAGTTGCTGCCTGTGGCTTCTTCATCTTATGCAACGAAGCGTCCTTCACTTTTGACGGTGGAGGGAGGGGGCGGGGATGGAATTTGTGAACCCTTCGCGATGAGAATCTGTTCTGTGCATAATGTCGAGGATGTTATGTAAACAGAGGAAAGGTCGCTAAACTTCCAATAACGGATAGCTGCAAAACGGTGCTGCAATGCGAATGAAAGACACGTTGTGTTTGATCTTGTGCGGCAAACGCCATGGCATTTAAGATGGTATTCACATACCAAAAACGGGCACATAATAAGATGACAAACACATAAAGTCATCACGAAATGGCTAACGTTAAACTTCTCACTAATTCATTTCTAACTGATGCGCTTAATATGAGCGGCATTTCGGCTCTCTTTTCCTTTAGCCTCATTTTTTCATTGTTGTCAATGCTGGGCGTTGACACTCGTCCCGGAAGTCACATCACTTGTGAGTCGTGAACCAATTTCGGACGAGTTTTTTATCTCTGCATCGTTTATCGATTGTCTCGCTGCAGCACAATCGGAAACACGTGGGCACGCGCAGGCACACACTCTTCTGTGTTGAAATCTTGCAAAACTCAACCCAGGCTGTGCACCAATGTAAAATAACAGTCGCCAGGCACGTTCATTTTATGCGTAGGCGTGCGTAAAATATGATATTCCTGAGGAAACTATAATTCCAACGTAAAATAATGGCGCTGGAATGCTGTATATCTCCTTACAATAATTTATTTTATCTATGGCAACCCGGGTATGTCAGGTAATATATATTACTGTATGCCTGGCCTATTCAAATGCATTAGCCAGAGGGGTGTGGTAATAACTGGTGTAAGCAAATTGACCACGGTCAAAAACGAATTACCAAGTCAACATTTTGGGATGGCCTCGTTCAAAAAACGGCTAAGAGCTTCGGTCTAGACAATTATTTTATCGTTGGCATACAGTAAAATACATACCAAACTCGGCCGGTGATAAATTTTCAAGACCTCAGTCCTTACTGATTTTTGAACTCGGCCTTCGGCCTCGTTCAAAAATTCAGTAAGGACCTCGGTCTTGAAAATTTATTTACACCGGCCTCGTTCAGTATTATATAATACTGAACGAGGCCGGTGTAAATAAATTTTCAAGACCGAGGTCCTTACTGAATTTTTGAACGAGGCCGAAGGCCGAGTTCAAAAATCAGTAAGGACTGAGGTCTTGAAAATTTATCACCGGCCGAGTTTGGTATGTATTTTACTGTATGCCAACGATAAAATAATTGTCTAGACCGAAGCTCTTAGCCGTTTTTTGAACGAGGCCATCCCAAAATGTTGACTTGGTAATTCGTTTTTGACCGTGGTCAACTTGCTTACACCAGTTATTACCACACCCCTCTGGCTAATGTATTTGAATAGGCCAGGCATACAGTAATGTGTCATACCTTATCCGATTTCGATAATAGTTTGCGCAGGGCATCGTTCATGTGATATAACGCAGCGTCGGTGGCCATTATATCATGACCTCATGGTTTAGTCTCGGCCTTCGCATAGCCCGACCTTGAGGGTGGTCCTGACTGGAAACGTATCCACCACGTGGCATTGGTCCTTACAGGCGCTACACATTTACATATACACCGAACAAATGTCTTGATGCCGTGTATGTTTACAATATCTGTCTGCCTCTTGTTTCTGATATCGCTGTAGATAACAGCAGTCTTACAGCTATCTCTGCTTAGGTATAGCAATCTACTTTAACGATCTACAGTGTACTTTATCATACATATAAAAACCTTCTTTATAATTACAGCTCTAGTGATAAACAGACTCAGAGAAGGATTTCTCGGATTCGTTAATGTTGTAATTTCATCGACGACGCGTGACAGTTTCTTTGCTTCAATAACGCCTGTTCAAGATTGAATATTCCGAATAGTTGAATTTTTGTGAACTAAATTACCACTTGGCAAACGAATTACCTACACGCATTGCATACACCCATTTGTTCTCCGAGAGAGTTTAGATGTCCCTTTACTTGTAAATTACAATCGCAAGGCATGAGGCTGTTTCGGGGACTCGACCGATGCGACGCATCGTTTTCATCTCTGGACCAGTCAGCCGCGTCTGACCCCGTCTCAGTCATGGATGATGAGATCGTACCTCCCAGACAACCGAAGGACGAGCTCCAGCCATTGTCCACGGCCCCGTGGAGCTTGAATAGCCGGCTACCGCGTCAGCCAGCCATCTGAACCCCCAGACTTCCGCGCCCGCCGGCGACTGACAAGTGACACCCGATCCCCTGCGGTTGACACCGGACCCTCCGCGGGCCGCTGTGGGCCGGCTGAGGTGAAACCCACAGCTGACCACTGCGCCCGGCTCTCCCTGAAGCCTTCCCTGTGCGTTCCGGAGGGTGTAGCGGTTGGGAGGGAGGCGTGACGCGTGCGGGCGGCCGAGGGACGGCTCTGCGGTGTCGCACCGACACCTGAGAGGGCCGGAGGGCTCGACTGTCGGTCGGATTATCTGCCGCGACCACAGACTAGCCACCCGACACCGACACAGGAGCTGTGGCGCGTCACGCGGCGATGTCGGGATTCCTTCCAAAATCCAAACACGGGGCTCCAACTCCACGGTATCTGACCGCCAGCAGCGGCGAGCAACATTCAACCGATTCAACCATCCGTCGTCCATGGGGGATGGGTTGTGAGAAAGAACACACGATGCCGTGTATTTGAACGATCCAAGCGACAGAGCTATCACATGTAGTCTGAATGCACAGCAGAGTTGGAAGATGGGATGCACGGTCGGGCCCAGCTTCGACCTCGCCAGAGGCCGGCCGGAAATTCCAGAGAGTTCACTATGTAGTCATTGCCAACAGACAGCTGACGGTTACACAACATCGCCATCGCCGAGCAAGCGACTGTAAAATATCGGCATGTGCCGCTACTGGAGAAGCAACTGCGCTTTTATTTGATTCCATTTCTTATTGCACTTGAGGCTACAAGCAACATAATCAGCGTTCGAGATGTATCTGTAAACCAAGACGCTATGAGTGTGTCGCAAAGAGTTCCCCTTGTTTATTGATATTTATTTTGATTGGCTTGTTTTGAATGGCCGTTAGTGCGCCAGACGCTGGTTTATTTGTCCGTGCGCCACCAGACTTGCCATTGAGGCTTCCAGTTAGTCGGGTTCATCCTTCGGGTCCCCGTTTATTTGTCGTTCGCTCGCATCACAATAAGGAATGTATAGGGTCATAGAGTTCTTGCTGTTGCAACTCGCTAGGTCAAAGAGTACGCGTCGTTGTATTTGTTTGATGGCTAACAGTTACTAATTTTGTGTGGCATGTTGTCCCTTGAACGGTTACAATGTTACTGGAATTTCATTGTGAAACAATCAAAGGAAGAAACGATGCCTTGTTGCAATGCTGGACGTCTCGATACTTCATGGAATCGCTCGTATTGCGAAACGGACTTTTTGTGACTAAAAGACTACCCAAATAAACCAGTCATCCTTGCCATCCTAGTGTCGATAACGGAGCTCCAACTCACTTGTTCGGTCCAGTCTGGATTCTTCTCACTTGAACCAATATCAATGTGTAGTTAAATTATTCCTGCCTACAGCAAAAGCAACAGCAGGTTCCTATATCCACATACGTTCTTTTCCACGCAAGTATCCCACCTTACCTGACCATCCCATGAAATCGACCGGGTGGCAATTCGCATGAACGCCCGAGTGAAAGGATACGTTGTTGTGCTGCATCGATGTCTCCAATTAAGTTTGCCGCCTCCTCGGTGTTGTGCTGATTGATGTTTCAATAGAATGATGTCGTAAACACTTGCTAACGGTGTTGTCGGAAAATTGAAAGACTGCTTTGTTGTAATCATTCCATTCCACGTCCAGCCTGTACCGATATTTACTCTGTACTCCTATTCCTCCCCGGCAGATATTCGTCAGATGGAGCACGTGCCCGGCCGGAGTATCAACCTGGCTCTGAGCCACCGGGGTCGCAGCGCTCTGGCCCGGGTTGGCCTGGAGGACCTGGTGATCCAGCAACACGGCATTCCCATGTACGGACGCATGATCCATGCCACCGACGGACGCAAGAAGGTCATCCCCTACGGCAAGGCCGGGCAGGTCAGTCCATAGGGGAGGTGCGGGGAGGCCAGAGCCGCCAGATAGGTCAGTCCAGGGGGAGATGCAGTATGTAAAGTATCGACTCTGGTCATAGGTGAAGGGTCGCAAATCAAGCTCAGGCCTCAATCATCAGTCCTCAAGTTGGTCCCCGGACCCCATTAATGTTATTAGAAGATAGACAGCTGAGTGATAAGTTGCATTATCATAATGAGCTCATTAACGCAAACAGCTTCGGTCATTACGTAACCAATTTATAAAAAAAGGATTTCGGGAAAGGATTGATCTAGTATGCACGGTAAAGATGGCAGATAAGATACTGCCAGATGTCATACAAGTCTACGTCACTCCAACCATTGTAACCTGCTGTAAGTGGGTCATATCCTCTCTACATATACCCTGGTCTGGCTCAGTAGCCCCGACCTCTCGGGCCTAACACTGTGGCCCGCCGGCAAGTGCGGATGGACCCACTCCGGTCCTGTCCAGACCCAGGGCCTATGGTAGCCGCACCCCACGCAGTACCGTCTGGGAGTGCCCCGTCCTAACTAATTGGAGCGTGGGCGGGTGTGTCTGGGTCTGGCCCGCGCCCTGTTGCTGGGCAGGGATCTGGATGAAGTGGAGATCTGGTCCGATGTCGCGGGTCGCGGGTCGGGTGGGCAGACATCGGGGTGAAGTGGAGATCTGGTCCGATGTCGCGGGTCGCGGGTCGGGTTCCCTACGAGTGGTTGGTCTCGGCCCGGCTGTTATAATGCTGGGATCCAGCTGGACCGGCGAGTAGCGGGTCGGTAGATACCGGGGACGTGAGTGGTGTCCTGCTGTAGACGCGTAACGGTTCGCTCTGAAACTGGTGTGCCAATCTGGCAGACGGCGGCAACAGCAGTCACATTTAGTTTGGTGATATCTGCGCGATGTTCATTCATTTGCGTTTTAACATTTTTTTTTACAAAGTTTTGTAGTTTTCCGTAGTTATTACGAGCTATTAAAGGCTCTATGTTTGAGGATATGAAAAAACTGCATGTGATCGCTCACATTGACCTCTGTGGAAAAGACCGTTGACTTTTTTTGTTATCAGACACCATTTAGTTAGTTTCGGAGATATGTAGAAAGGATGTAAAACATGTCCGGCCAAGCATTATTTTTACGATGTTAGTTCACCTCGTATCTAAGTCGCATATCCTGAATATGCCAGCTTGGTATGTGTTGCTTTAAATGAGCCCCGCCTACCATTAAACCTGCGTAAAACATCCTCACGCCAACTGGGGGCGTAGCCGGCTATTCTAAGACATCCTGGCCGGACCCATCAGAACTGCATATGTTGCAGACGGGTTGCAGTACTGGCATTCGGCCACGGGTTGGCGGCGTGGTCGGGTGTCTGGTGGTCTGGCTCGCTGGTCTGGGGTCCTGACTCGCTGGTCTGGCGATGTGGTCCGCTGGTCTGGCGGTCTGATGATCTAGCCCACTGGTCTGGCGATCTGCCCCGCTTGTTTAGCGGTCTGACGGTCTGGCCTGCTGGTTTGGTGGTCGTGTCTGGACCGCTGGACTGGCAGTCTCGGAGTCTAACACGCTGGACTGGCAGTCTGGCGGTCTGGTCTGGCAGTCTGACACCGCCGCGCCGGCCCGCCGCCCCGCCCACCGCCGCTCGCTGTCGACTGGTCCGCCCGGGGGCCGGACGGCCCGCTCCCAGCTCTGTTTACCCTCGGTCGCGTGGTGTCACTCAGGCGACCAGCCTCCAGCTGACCGCGGCCACGCCAGGCGCCCTGCTCTGGAACCGCTGCTGCAGGCTGCCCGCTGCAGGAATGCAGCCGGCATGTTGTGACACCGGCCGGCCAGTCGTAGCGGGGGTCAGTGATTGTTTTGACAGAGTAAGATAGGGCCTTTACATACTCGTGTCATTTTTTATTGATCCTTACTCCTTTTCTAGGTGTTATACCTAAATGTTATTGAAACGGGAGATGCATTGCAATATTTAGTTTAGTACATCTCCGTGAAATATTTCCTCGCTGTATTATTGTCACCAATTACGTATTCACACCAACCGTATTAAATTAACTATAATTTGCACTTTTAAATGAAGACGCACTATTTTCTCAGTTTACAGAACCTTTTCCCAAGCTAGGGTGTAGTGCGGCACAGTCTACCTGCTGAGGGTGTAGTGCGGCACAGTCTGCCAGCTCAGGATGTAGTGCGGTGCAACTAGTCTTCCAGTTCAGGGCGCAGTGCGGTACAGTCTACCAGTTCAGGATGTAGTGCGGTACAGTCTACCAATGGATGATGTAGTGCGGTACAGTTCAGGATGTTGTGCGGTACGACTACAGTCTACCAGTTTAGGACGCAGTGCGGTACAGTCTACCAGTGTAGGGTGTACTGCGGCACAGTATATCGGTTACGGGTATAGCGCGGACCGCGGTACAGTCTACCGATGTAGGGTGTACCTACACTGAAAACAAAATGACACAAAAAACGACTAAAAACGCACAGGCAGAGCGTGTTAACTAGGCTTTCTTGTGTACCCTGCATCATGCATTTTTTGACCCGTCGCAGACGTGTCAATTTACAAATGTGTTAACCCAGTCGTGTTGTGTCCTAAAACACAATATCATTGTGTCTTCAACACATAAGGCTTGTGTGAATACATTTGCAGAATACAAGGTAAATATGTTACTAAATTTAACCCAAATCGCAAGTGAAAGAAGGAAACTCGTGGTGATTATGTAGTTTGTTGCCGGGGCGCAGTTGAAGGGACTATGGCTTTGGCTGGATAGGCTGACTGCCAAAGCCGGGCCCCGAGTGGAATCGGGCGTTCGGGTGCGGTCAGGGCTGAGTACCCGGCCGGCCGACCCATACGGTCAGGGCGCGGTCAGGGCTGAGCACGCGGGCGGCCGACCCATGCGCGAGCTGGAGTTGCGCCCGGTCGGCCACTTCATAGCCGAAGGGTGAACGCATCACGTGGACGGCACAATTAGAGCACCAAATGACGAAGCCCCAAATTGGAGGACTGCTGTTCAATACAGTTGTCCAGACAGCCGGGATAATCTTACAGCCACCGATTTTTCAAATATATCCTATATAGACGGAGGAGTTTCTTCCTCCAAGCAGACGTTAATTAGCTATGCTTCAGCTTGCACTTGATGTAATCAGCGCATATTGCTCTAGACAATTTATCATGTATCGACTCCCTCGGCTGTATTGTGCATTTTGACCTTTCTCAAAACACTTTGGCAAATTTTTACAAAAACCCAGCATAAAAGTCGGTGCTCGAAAAACGCCCTCTCTTATCCCCATTTGAAGTTAAGGTTCAGAGGTCACTCACTGGTGGATGGCACGGTGTATTTGTGCAAGGGTACACGTCCACCATATCCTCATACACTGATGCATTACATTCGTCCAGCGTGCTTGGCACGATAAAATTGTGTCATTATTCTGTTTTATGTGTTATCAAACGTGTCGAAGGTCCCGCCAAGCGTGAAAATACTCAGCCTTATTGTGTTTTGGGTGCGATTAACACATGACTGATGTGTTACCAGTACAGAACATGCACTGAAAACAAAATGACACAAAAAACGACTAAAAACGCACAGGCAGAGCGTGTTAACTAGGCTTTCTTGGGTACCCTGCATCATGCATTTTTTGACCCGTCGCAGACGTGTCAATTTACAAATGTGTTAACCCAGTCGTGTTGTGTCCTAAAACACAATATCATTGTGTCTTCAACACATAAGGCTTGTGTGAATACATTTGCAGAATACAAGGTAAATATGTTACTAAATTTAACACTAATCGCAAGTAAAAGAAGGAAACACGTGGTGATTATGTAGTTTGTTGCCGGGGCGCAGTTGAAGGGACTATGGCTTTGGCTGGACAGGCTGACTGCCAAAGCCGGGCCCCGAGTGGAATCGGGCGCTCGGGTGCGGTCAGGGCTGAGTACCCGGCCGGCCGACCCATACGGTCAGGGCGCGGTCAAGGCTGAGCACGCGGGCGGCCGACCCATACGCGAGCTGGAGTTGCGCCCGGTCGGCCACTTCAGAGCCGAAGGGTGAACGCGTCACGTGGACGGCCCAATCAGAGCGCCAAGTGACGAAGGGTGAACGCGTCACGTGGACGGCCCAATCAGAGCGCCAAGTGACGAAGCCCCAAATTGGAGGACTACTGTTCAAAACAGTTGTCCAGACAGCTGGGATAAACTTACGGCCACCGATTTTTCAAATATATCCTATATAGACGGAGGAGTTTCTTCCTCCAAGCAGACGTTAATTAGCTATGCTTCAGCTTGCACTTGATGTAATCAGCGCATATTGCTCTAGACAATTTATCATGTATCGACTCCCTCGGCTGTATTGTGCATTTTGACCTTTCTCAAAACACTTTGGCAAATTTTTACAAAAACCCAGCATAAAAGTCGGTGCTCGAAAAACGCCCCCTCTTATCCCCATTTGAAGTTAAGGTTCAGAGGTCGCTCACTGGTGGATGGCACGGTGTATTTGTGCAAGGGTACACGTCTACCATATCCGACAACACATGATTTCGATACACTGATGCATTACATTCGTCCAGCGTGCTTGGCACGATAAAATTGTGTCATTATTCTGTTTTATGTGTTATCAAACGTGTCGAAGGTCCCGCCAAGCGTGAAAATACTCAGCCTTATTGTGTTTTGGGTGCGATTAACACATGACTGATGTGTTACCAGTACAGAACATGCCCTCACTGTGTCGATTTGTTTTCAGTGTGCCCTCTCACTGGCGGATCCTGGGGGGGGTCCACGGGGTCATGACCCCCCCCAAAAGGTCTGAGAGGGTCATTTGACCCCCCCCAAAAGCCGAAGACCTAAATGCGCTATAGACGCCGTCTTGCATGCTCAAAATCACCTGTCAAACACTTCTGAGCTAATACCTTTGTTTTTCTGGATCGTGTTGAGTGAAAAGGCGTATTGAAGACCAGAATCTTACTCGTTTTTGTCTCAACCGTGCGAGCACCAGGGGATGATCCAGGAAAACTCCAAGGGGATGGTCATGAATTTAATTCGTGGTGCCCCTACCTATACGCAAAATTAAAAACTCAACGGATTTCGGTCACTTAATTTTGGTGATGTCCTATTTTCATTTTTTATTTTGTTTGTTTTATTTTTAGTGCCCCTGGGCCCTGGCAGGTCAAAACCACGTCTGAGGCGAAAGAAATTCACGGGAATCCCAAAAATCACGTCAGGACATTCAGGGCCCTCTGACCAGCCTGACAGCTAGGGCCCTTCTTACTTCCTGGGGCCTCCAGTGAATAACCGCTAGTGTCTGTGTCTGACCGCTAGGGCCCCTCTGACTCCTCAGTAGGTAGGAGGCCCTCTGTAGAGGAGGTCCTCTGTAGAAAGGAGGCCCTCAGTAGAGAGGAGGCCCCCTGTAGAGAGGAGACCCCTTTAAAGAGGAGGCCCTCTGTAGAGAGGAGACCTGCTGTAGAGAGAAGGCTCTATGTAGAGAGGAGGCCCTGTGTAGAGAGGAGGCCCTCTGTGGAAAGGAGACCGCCTGAATGCAGAAGGCCCTCTGAAGAGTGGAGACCCGCTGTAGAGAAGAGGCCCTCTGAAGAAAGGAGGCCCTCTGTAGAGAAGAGGCCCTCTGAAGAGAGGAGGCCCTTTGCAGAGATGAGGTCCTCTGGCTCTTTGAAGAGAGGAGGCCCTCTGTAAAGGAGGCCCTCTTAAAGGGAGAGACCCTCAGTAGAGAGGAAGCCCTCTGTAGAGAGGAGGCCCTGTAGCTTCTGTAGTTAAGAGGCCCTGTGAAAAGAGGAGGCCCGCAGTAGAGATCGGTGGTCCTCTGTAGAGAGGAGGCCCCCTCTGTGTTTTGACAAATGTTTTTGCAAATTTTTCGCGGCGCTTCGCGCCGCCGATTTATGTACATACGTACAGGTCAATACGAAATCTTGACTGTAATTACATAAACCAACCGTGTCAAATTGAATCAGAATTCATATGTGTGCTGTAAAGGAACTCCGGCTTGTACTGCAATGCTAAAAGGGTGGTAAAATTTGTGTTTTGGAGCTGTGTTTCGACACATTCTTTTGCAAATTTTCTCGGCGCTTCGCGCCGCCGATTTATACACCAATCAATAAGAGAGAAATAACAGTGACTGTAATAACACCAACCGTGTCAAATTGAATCGGAATTCATATGTGTACTGTGAAGGAACTCCGGCTTGTACTAGCATGCTAAAAAGGTTGTAATATTTGTGTTTTAGAGCTGTGTTTTGACAACTTTTTTTTGCAAATTTTTGCGGCGCTTCGCGCCGCCGATTCATACACAGGTCAATAAGAGAGATCGTGACTGTATGCTACTATTTACTAATGCATTAGGCTAAAAGTTAGGTAACTATATCTACTTCTGGGTTTTTAAGTCGGTCGACCCGCCTCCCCCCCCCCCCAGTAAAAAATCCGTGGCGACGCTCCTATATAGGTGGGTTTCACTAACTAAAACTACTGAGCCGAGTGACTTACGATAAAACTTCATCTTATAAACGACGAAGATCAAATGTCATTTTTTGATCTCGACATACTCGCTCCCTACCCCCCCCCCCCCCGGTCGTCAGAATTCATTCACCAGACCTGGTATGTCGGCCGACTGGTGACCCCCCCCAAAACGACCCCCTAGATCCGCCCTTGGCTGTGTCGATTTGTTTTCAGTGTAGTGCGGCACAGCCTACCAGTTGAGAATGTAGTGCGGCACAGCTTTCCAATGTAAAGTGCAGTGCGGCGCAATAGAAAAGCTGCCTCAGCTAACCTAACCAAAGGCTCTCAGCGTTTCGGGCGATTTAGGCGTGGGTAGGAGTGTGCATCGTGAACCAGGCCTTAGGGTATGGTCACTGTGCTGTCCTCCAGACATCATTTGTTTCCTTACGTAATATCACTGTTATATAAGTGTCTGAAAGCGCCGGTGGAGGAACCGTGGTGCATAGGAAATGCAGCCAGCTGCAGGTGCAGCCAGCGCAGTGACCAGCATGATATCAGGCAGTAGAGGCACGTAATGTCATCTGGCTGTCATTACAGTGCATTCAGCTACTGAAAGCTTCCACCCTTTGATGCAGAGGTGCTACCATTTTAGTTAATGCAGTTATATAACATGAAAAAGCTTGATATATTAACGGGACCTGGACACTTTGATGTTCACAACATGACTAATGTCTGCCCCTAATAGCATTATTACCTGGATCCTGCACCTTATAGTTATGTGCCTATGATCGTTTACAATGCAATAGGCATGTGGCCGTCATTAGGTACTTATTAGGGATAATACAGTTAAGAATGTGGCCAGTGTATGATTGGGACATGTGCTCCCTGTATTTATGTAACCGTGTGTAATTTTTCCATTTCAGTGTATCTATTCGGTCGGACGGAGATATCTGAACGAGACTATGCTGAGCGGTAAGTTATATCAAATAAGCGATAAATGCAATGCATTTCCTCTCCTGTGCAGAGTAAGCGCAACTTTTCACTGTGGACTGAAAAACATGATATCCCATTATTACACCGTCAGACAGGTATATTTCAATGTTTGTGAGACCGATCAAAAATCACCACCATCACGTCTGTTCTGATCGTTTTTATTTATACGCACTGATGTTTACCTATTGTCCTTTAATTTGTTGCAGAGGCTGAAACTCATCCAAACGTTCATCTTCATTTCAATCACAAGCTTCTTCACTCCGATCTTAAAACCGGACACATGGTCTTCGAAAGGTAAGTACTAAGTACCTTCCTTTTGCCTGTTGATGAAATGTGACTTGTAGGCCGGTACAATGATGCAATGACCTTCATTAAAATCGTTAGGTACTTCTAAAATCGTTAATATTTAATTCGTTGGTAGTTAAATCGTTCTATTTGATGTTTGTATGGACGCTTAGAAAGGCAAATTTTGTGGAACGTTGGCTTGTTAGGTACGTCGGGTCCGTTTGATTTGATTTAAGAGCGATTCAATAATGACAAAAAATGACTTAACCAATGACGATTTTACAAATAACGGTTGCAACGAAGGTCATTGCTGAATTTTATCTTTTTTGCTCGTTACTGACTACTATTGATGAATCATCGACATTCTACTAAGTCACTTATTGACATTTATCAGCACAAAAAAATATGTCTCTTAACTCAAGTCTCAATAATGACCACCGGCCAGTGCCAGTACATGGTAGTGAAACGTTGGTGAAACGTTACCAGTTTATGATGTGGGTGACGTGGAATGGTCGAAATATCTGCAGCAGAGAGGCAGCTTTTTCCAATCCCAACACAGACACACGCACCCGGTGACCGGTAACAAGGGTCACACTGGCCTACTCTGATGGTCATACTCTGTACATCTGCTTATTTGAATTGCTTGTGCGTCCCCAGTCACCGTGTAAAGCTGTGTGTGTAACCCATTTACCAGAACCCAACTTATGTAACCTGGTTCTGGTTCAATAACTGGTTCTGAAGTCTGAACCATATGCAGATCACAATTTTTTAGTCAAATGTATCCGATCTTTTCGACCTTTTTTGCATTTTTGACATAAAAGACCTCAGGAATCCAACTGTCGTAAACGTTTACTGTGCTCCGAAATGTCCGGGTACAGAACTGTTTTATTATCATCCTCGATCTGTTGTACTCGGTTTATGACGACTGATCACGCTCTGGTCTCTTTAAACGGCGATGCTTCGTGATTCAACGTTAACCATCCCTGTTCCTTTTTAAAAGCGTCGTCGCGACCTTACGTAACGTAACTTGAGCTGAGCTTCACACCATATAACTTCCTATGCTCTTTTGTGACCTAAAATGATTGCTCGTGACCATATCTTCCGCGTGCCAATTCATGATCCTCGAGTATTCTTCCGTGACCCGCGTGTCCTCTCCTGACCTCACGTGACTCCGTATGACCCTCTAAACACCTCATGATCTGAGTGACCCCTTGTGACTCTTATCACCTCTCGGGTTCTCGTGTCACCTCTCGTGACCCCGTGTCGCCTTTCATGACCCGTGTGACCGCTCTGTGACCCCGTGTCACCTCCCGTGAAACCTGTGACCTCTGGGTGACCCTGTGCGCCATCTCGATGACCCCGTGCGCCCTCTCGATGACCCCGTGCGCCCTCTCGATAACCCCGTGTGACCTCTATGTGACTCCGTGTGCACCCTCAGTAACGGCCAGGAGGTGCAGGCGGACGCGGACCTCATCCTGGGCTGTGACGGCGCCTACTCGGCCGTCAGGAGACAGATGATGAAGGCTCCGCGCTTCAACTACAGCCAGACATACATACCGCACGGCTACATGGAGCTCTGCATCCCGCCCACGGCCACGGGACAGGTGCGGTGCGGCAGAGGATAGGGGTCGTGGTCATAGCTGGGTCACGCTGCTCAAAACCACACTTAGCTCGTTAATAGTCTTACAAAACGGATATAACGTCCATTCTTTGGAGTTCGGCTTTTTTAAGACAGGGCCTTTGATTGTCAAGGGCTGTTTCAACACATCCGTAAATTACTCGTTGAAACGGCACGGTTCCAGAAAACGTTTGCCCTCTTTCTGGCATTGGGTTACGTTGAAATCAAACCGAATCTGTCATGTCATATGAACAACACGGATGTACCGTGCAACGTTTGTACACGGATCAAGTAACGGATGCACTAGGACGGAACGGTACCGTTTCCACGTGGTAACACCGAGAACCTCCGATCTCGTGCGCTGGCCAAAGGCCCGTGTTTGGCCAAAGTATGTCCGATGGTTGGCGACAGGTTCAGCTAGTGAAAGAAGACAGGTGTAGTTCGCGTGGCCCTGCAATGTCGAGGCGGATCCAGCTGTCCTGTGACCTGATGCACGCGCTAGATAACACCTCGCCGGTGGTCCTAAAATGGCCCCACGAGCCCGATCTGCGCCGATCTGATAGCTTTTCGGGGATGTTCCGAGCTTCCGCGAAACTGATATTGTCCAACGATTCTATGAATGCTTGATGGCATATGCTTTTGCGACCACGTGGGGCAGTAAAACTGGTTCCGGCTACGAGAGTCGTCTGAACTGCGACTGCCGGTATCCATCAAAGCACGTTTATGGATTACATTTCGACATCGACGTAAAAATAGAGATGTTGTAGTGACCCTGGGGGTACTGAACCCTTTCAGCCGTCTGAACATTTTACCCATCTTAAACCTCTTAACCCGCCCGAACCCTTTAACCCGTCTGAACCGTTTAACTAGTCCGAACCCTTAAACCCTTCCGAACTCTTGAACCCATCTGAACCCTTTAACCCATCTGAACCATTTAACCCGTTTGAACCCTTTGACCTGTCGTGTCCCAACGACCCGTCCGACCCCTTTGACCTATCTGACCCAATTACCTGACTAACTTTAATGACCTGTCAAACCCTAGTGACCTTGTGACTCTGGTGACCTCAGTGACCCATTTGACCTCAGTGACCCATCTGACCTCAGTGACCCATCTGACCTCAGTGACCCATCTAACCTCAGTGACCCGTCTGACCCGTCCCTCTCCGTTGCAGTTCGCCATGGAGCCCAACTACCTGCACATTTGGCCGCGGGGCGAGTTCATGATGATCGCCCTGCCCAACCAGGACCGCACCTGGACAGTGACTCTGTTCATGCCGTTCGCCGTCTTCGATCGGATCACAACACCCGACGAGCTGCTCGAGTTTTTCCGCGAAAACTACCGCGACGCCATCCCGCTCATCGGCGAGGAGAAGCTCATCAAGGATTTCTTCTCGAACCGCGCGTCTCCACTGGTTTCTGTCAAGGTGAGAATTTTCGCGGGTGTTGGCTCTTTTTTAGCGGAGTTATCTGCTAAAACTTTAGTGAAACCATCTGAAACTTTAGTTTTCAGACCATCTGAAACTTTAGTTTCAGATGGACGACTTTGGACCAAGTTAGATGTACCCCGTCCCCACCTCAAAGCGATCCGAACGACTCGCTAGTCCGTGTTCGGCTATAATCGGGCCGACGCAAGCATTCCTTGTCCCTGATGACCGAGCTCCCCGTCTAGAAGGACCACTCTGTCCCCACGGGTTCAGGTGAACCTGGAAGGGCGGCTCGTGCTACCCCAAACGTCTGGAGTTGTCAGCACCTGACGTCAGGCTGTCGGAGGAGCGGCTTTAAGGCTCGGAGTCTGTCCCAGGGAGGAGGGGGCGGGGAGGGGGGCTGAGCCTGTCCATTTGTGAGAGGGAGGGTCTGTGGTGTTTACCACTGGTAATTCGTTGGCTGTTTTGTCTGTTGCCGGGCCGAGCCAACCGACATCTGTCTTCTAGCTGGGATTCGAGAAATGTTATTCGTCATTTTTCATGTTTTTACACTGTTGTGTTAACCTAGATTGTCTCAAGCAGACGGCGGCGTTGTATCGTAATGAAAGCATATTATGGTCAATGAACCACATTCCATTGTTTTTCTTATTTTTGTCATGTCCAGTTCGTATTCAAACCGACACCGTTTATTTTACGATGAATAGTGGGATGCCTGTCACCCGTTTCTAACAACATGTCTCGACCGTTTTTGTGTGTTTCAGTGCTCGCCATATCACTCTCCCAAAGCTCTCATCATGGGCGACGCGGCCCACGCCATGGTGCCTTTCTATGGTCAAGGCATGAACGCGGTAAGTGACCTCACCTGACCTCACCTGACCTGACCTGACTTTGTTTTTCCAGGCGGGTGACAACGGGCGCGGGAACGTTCCGGGACGAATACTTGCTGAGAGTGAGACCTAGACTGATGTCGTCATTTCCTCTGTGTTTGGTTGGGGTCAGGTCATGGCTGACGATCCTCGTTTCTGGGGGGGGGGGGGGAGTGCGCGATCAGCTAAATTTTGTGGGACGACTAAACATGGCCCACGGAAGTCTCAAGGGACTTTTCGGTGCTGGCCGACTGGCGCCTGTCACCGGGCACTCCTCGCCCGTCTCTCTCTCTCTCTCTCTCTCTCTCTCTCTCTCTCTCTCTCTCTCTCTCTCTCTCTCTCTCTCTCTCTCTCTCTCTCTCTCTCTCTCTCTCTCTCTCTCTCTCTCTCTCTTTCCCTCTCTCTCTCTCCCTCTACCATTTCCCTCCCTCTGTCCGGCCCAGTGACGATGACAGACTCAGTAGCGGACCGTCACCAGCTGCCAGCCTGTCACCAGAAAACAGTCCTGGACACGGTGACACGGGGCGTGTCAGGACAGACTCGGTGCTCGGCGGCCATTTTTCAGTCACCGCCCGGCACTGACCTCCTACGGACACCGAACAGCCGCTGTCCCTGCGCTGCTGGGTGACGTGAGAGTCTGTTCAGTGTTGGGCTGAAAACCAACGTGGTTTGGTTGCTATGGAGACACTCCTCAGCTTCTGTGGCTAGCGTCCCGGCCCCGGCTGACCAACCTGCCCCTCCCCGAGTTGATGTAGGAGGGGAGGGAGGAGGTCGTCCCCCGTTGATGTACTCGTAACTCGTAAGAGGGGAGCGGAGGGAGGGAGGTCGCCCCCGTTGATGTACTCGAAGGAGGGAAGGGGAGGGGAGGGAGGTCGTCACTCCGATCATCTGTTGTGTAAACACGACCGAACAGTGCACTGGTGGTGTAACACTGTAACACACCCAGTGCCTGGCGAGCATACCTCAGTGGTTACAACACTCCCCGGAGTGCTGAGCTCAGCCGTGCCGGATACGATGTTAGTGACCCATATTTTACGTAAATTATTAACTTACCAGGATGCTACCAGTTCACTGATCTTTCCAGATCAATCCGTTATCATTGTATAAAATTATTACATACCTAAGTAGTGGGTTGCGCTTCGCAAATGCGCGAAAGATAAAATGTGCCATATGGTGAAAATCTTAATCAACGTGAGATAAGACTATCGAATTGTATCGAGATTACGTCATACCATCGATAAACAATTAAGAGTGTAATCGTTTTTTTTTGTGTTTTTTTTTTGTATGACTGCTCGTTGTTCCTTTATTCGTAACTCGCTTTTTGGTAAGTAGTCGTAATGAGATACTCTGAAACCAATGTAAAAGATGTTTTACCATTTAACCTCACTAATGATTTCTAAGACTGCTGCTGCCGCTCCCTCCCTGGACATAGCCCGCTGCGGGCAGCGTTTTAACCCGTCCATTCGCCTCTCTGGCAGGGTTTCGAGGACTGTCTGCTGCTCGATGACCTGCTGACCAAACACGACATGGACCTGGAGCGGGTACTGCCCGAGTACACGGAAGTGCGAAACCCAGACGCCGAGGCCATCTGTGACCTGGCCATGTACAACTATGTCGAGGTGAGCATCCGTGAGCTGAGAGTCCACGGCTATATCGTTGAATTACGAGGAAGTTCGATGGAGAGGAGTCTTGGATGGATATGTAGAGAAGCTAGTTATAGCCCGTCAAAATCTACGTCTTATCGTTTGACCGCCCAGCTAGTTTCATTGTTTTTGGTATTCGAAAAGGTAAGCTGTGCTTTTATGCGCTTGCGCAACATCTTTTGTGCCGTATACGTGCCTCCCGTATGTGTCGATCCAAATAGAAAACGCTGTTGGAGCTCGGCCTGGTTTTTGTCAACTACAGAGATAACCAGCGAAGGACAGAGCGTTCACCTGCTCTACAAGTTCAGAAACTAACCAGACGCCTCTTTACGCAACAGTCTTACAGGGTTTATCGCTGATGCTTTCCAAATTATGGTGGGGTCACTTTGTTTCACAGTAATTTACATAATTTTTTATAAAAAATTAATGTTAAGCTCTCTATTGAATTTTGAAACAGCTTTAGATTATCAGTTATCGGTGATTGTTGTTCACTTTAACAATTTTAAGTAGCCTGTTTAGTGTTTTATAGGTAGCTTACAACAGGATGATTTCGGTATGAAGGCTCTCCAAACAGATTCATCGATGTGGACTGATTCTCGGCACATTGTGCCGTCCTGCCGACAGTTTCCACGGCAACCAAGGAGAGTTACTCAACGCACCGTGACTTCTGATCGATTACCGATACCTTCTGTGGCCTAGGTTGTGGTCTGTGAGGCTGACTTCTGCGAGCGAGTAAAAGTTCGCTTGCACTCTTAGTTATACGAGTACAAAATCTGGCTGGTGTTCACTGGAGTTTTTCCGGGGTGTGGCCCGGAGGCCCGGCGTTAGGTCTTGACGGTCCAGACGTTCCCGTAAACAGAATTGTGTATCGTACAGCGAACGGCCATGGCCATTAGGCGAGCCTCAAGAACGCGACCTCTATAGAGTCCAGAGGCGCGCTTGGCGTTTATCTGCAGTTCTTCATAAAACAGCGTCAGTCAGAGAGAGGTTTCACCCGTCATACCATAAAATCAAGCATAGACCCCTGTAAAGCTAGGTATACAGAGGTTTACGGATCAAGCAACCAAACTTCCAACAAAACGTGGTATCGCAAATCCGTATTTGCAGGCTGCTAATGAGTTCTCATCACATAATCACAATGCGACCTGACCCCCCCCCCCCCCGAAGAGCGTACATGACCCGCCACCGACAGTTCCGAGCCCTCTGGTTTGACCCCCCTCTCCCCTCCCCCTCGCTTACTAACCGTCTTCTCCGTCCGCCAGATGCGACACCTGGTCAACTCTCGGGCGTTCCTGATGCGGAAGGCGCTGGACAGCTTCCTGCACACGTTCTTCCCCAATAGCTGGACGCCGCTGTATAGCATGGTGTCCTTCACCAGGGTGCGCTACCACCAGGCCATCGCGCACAAAGAGCGACAAGATAAGGTACGGGCGGAAGGGGATGGAGGGTTGGGTTGGTGACGGTGGCGAATGCTGCATCTGTCCGCTCGTATCAGTGTCCGTCTCTTTGGTATCAATTGAGTTTTCAATCGGCTCTCAGGTTCTCAATGTACTCCATTCAGCCTTTCACAGATTCAGTCAACCAATGCACAGGCTTGTCTGTTGATTTAACCCAAGACTTCGGCATAAATGCCAGGTTAATGCCAGGAAATGTATTGATTCAGTCTTAACCCGCGCCCCGTAGGGGGGGGGGGGCCGAAACGGCCCCCCCTGTCCTTTTCGGTCGATATCTCCTAAACGGCTGGAGATATCGCCATCAAACTTTCAGGAACCCTCCGGGCATCGATTTTACACATTGTGACCAAAAAATTTTCCAGAGGCTATGATAGGTTGGCCACAAATGACGTCAGAATGACGTCATGTTCTGTCATTTTCGACCGAAAAAAGACCTTCGCGAGAAGACCTGTCAGGCCTACAGCTTTGAAGATACAGAAAAATGATCAAGACACAAAAGGTGTAGAATTGACAGGGCTACAAAACTGCTATCTCGAATTTTTGAAATTTTTGAGTTTTGACCCCCAAAAATCAAAAATGCATTTTTTTGGATATATAAGCCGAAAAATCCAAAAAGTTTTTGATTTTCGAAAAAACCGGAATATATGTGATAGTACCTACCGTCTTCTATCTACATACCAAATTTCAGATCGATACCTCGTTTTTTGGCCAAGTTATGGCGAAAAAAACTGTTCAAAAATGATGACGTCAAATTTTCAAACTCAATTTTTGGCAATTCTAGACCTCGTAGAGCAAAACAAAGACCACCATTGGACTCCCCGTGACGAGCTGCATCGAATCGATACCCATTTTATGCAAAAATATCAACTTTTAAATTTGACCTAATTTGACCTGACCTTGACCTGACCTTCACCAAAACGTGACCTAGGCTGGCCCCAAAGGCTACCTAACCCACATAATCGCATTTGTCATGTAAAATAGACCATAAAACATGCATCACACGACACTTTCATAATGTGACCCCCGGTGACCTGACCTCGCTGTGACCTGACCTGGTATCAGTGACCTCAGATAGCAAAGTATGTGTTTGACGAACAATGTACCATCGATGGTTTTCAATAAATTACCAATTTACTCGATTTCACAACACATTTCTTGAAATGCCTGTGAACGGTGAAAATCTGACCTTTGACCTGACCTGTGACGTCATCGGTTTGACCTAGGTCAATGAAATTTGGTCACAAGGTAGTTCCCGGGTGGGGCTATCGAACGCCGTTTGAATTTTGAAAATCGGCCGGTAACTTTCCGAGATCTTAGGGGGGGGGGGGCGAAACGCCCCCCCCCCCCTACGGGTGGTAGGGTCCGCCGGTAGCCCTACGGGGCGCGGGTTAAGTCCACCCCAGTTTGCTCCCTGCCGTGGCTGACTTTCAGTCGTGTTACCTTGGCTTGCTATCCGTTGACTCTCGGTCGTATCATCCTTGTCCCGCACCCACACAGTCTGTTTGTCTCGGGCTCTTGTGTGGTCCCCGCCTAACCGACCGCTCTGCTCCTCAGATCGTGTTCGGTGGAGTGATGACGCTCGCCGCGGCGCTGGCGGCCGGTGTGGCGTACCTGGCGCAGCGCGGCGACCTGTGGCGCAGCGCCACTGAGGTGGTCAACGAACAGGCGCGACTGGCGCTCTCCCGACTGGGACTGTGAGCGAGCGACTGACGACTGAGGGAAGGGGACACACCGCCGGGCCTCACCCGCAACCGACGGGGAAGTGAAAGAAGTTATGGATGATTAATAGCCAAACTGATGCGCCGAGCCAGGTTCAGAAAAGCTTGATTGAAACGAAAAGCTCTGGTGAAATATCCAAAGCGTTCCAGCTGAGAATATTACAGCATTGATGTAGGCTGAAGCAACAACATCGATAAAACGATCGATTGTATAGGGCTTCTTAGGCTAGATGATTACACGCCTTTACTCGTGCTTTACCAGCTTTTCGGTTCTTCTTTGCACGAAGGCGCCTCATGTTTAGGTCCTGTGGCAACAGAGCGAAGGTTCGGTTTTTCAGCATTGCTGTGTATATAGTTGCGTGTCTATTCTGGAGTGTGCGGTGTAAATGTGGTGTGCGTGTGTTTGTAAAGTATGATGTAAGAGATAGCTGACGGTGTTTGTATCTTATATATGGCCCGGAACCAAGCGTAGAGCTGGGCAAACTATCGAGCAATGACAAGGTGTGTATCGCTGTTCTAACTGAGCCTTTCTTACGATGTCTACTTTTCGCGTGTCGTAGGTACAAATATCACTCATCAGTATCCTTCGTGGGGGCCTAGGTAGGGTGATGGGTGGCCTTGTACGCCGCAAGACGCTGCGGTACGAACTACGACACCTTTGTATTATTGTCATACCCGAGTGGACTGAGAATTTAGAGACTTCCAGCCCTGCACACAAAGTGTTCGCGCAGCCGGGTGGCCCAGCGATTGACCGGACTGTTCATATGAAGATGAAGGGGGCGAATGTTATCTCAATCACATTCCACTGGCCGCGGTAACGAGCGCGGTCCCTATCGGCGCTAATTATGAGCTGGTCAGGATTCCAGGAGCTGGAGAGCACCAGCCTTCGGATGGACCTCGGCTACGTCATGACGGGAATGGACGCCACGCTTTGTGTTCTGTAAGGGCTCACAATACAATATGGCGTGGCACTAGTGTTTGGTCTTTTCCGACGGAACGACGTTTATACTAGACTATTCTGACACTTTAACCGCTTGGACACAGGCTCCCTGTTAGGGGAGAGAGGTCATATTGCGCCACCTTATGGATATCGGCCTATTGCGGCTAAAGTTGGCCAGCTGTCATGCTTGATGATATCTCAAATTGTACCTCAGTTATTTTGGCATCAAATTACAACTCCTAATTTGTATCACACCCATAAAAATTAACAAGAGAAAAGTTTTCCGACACATCTACAAAGGGCGCATTTACGGACTACCCCATCAAAAAGCGCCCATGCCTCTCATGTAAAAGGCAAAAGCGCCCTATTAAAAACAACGGTTTGCCACCTAACTAAGTAGCCTATTTGAACGTGTCAGCCCATTAACCATTTATGCTGTGAAGGCTAGGGTAATGGTAAGGTGAGCGCTCTAATAATCAAAGTGTTCCGAAATGTGTCCCAACCACCAGATGCTGTTTCTCTGGGTTGAAGAATAGGGCGCAAATAGGGTGGGCGCAATTACGAATGGAACACATTTTTCATGACCTTCAGATACGGCGAGGACAGCGAAGCCACGGTGGTGATAAACTTTCAAAGCTACCATTAAACGAGCAATTAACAATGATTATTAGTTGAATCACTATCTCTAAGATAAACCATGACACTAGCAAAGGTCGAAATAGACTGTTTCGCGTAAGAAAATAGAGAAAATCACAAAAAAAATGGTCTGCGAGAAAGCTGAGACACGTCACCTGCCCCGTGGACCGGAATAAGAGCGAGTTATTGGTGGTGAAGTAAATGCACACATTCGAGCATTCATTCGAATCGAATTTTGGACAGGAAGGTGTGGCGCATTTAAGAACATGGCGCAATATGACCTCTCTCCCCTACTCGACTTGGGTCGCGGGTGGCCCTGAATCTTGAAACCTTACACCGTACGCCACCCTAGGGACCGTAGTCCGTAACACCAACATACCTCCTCCCTGCGGACCCCAGCTGATCGCCGTAGGCGTAATACGACTCCCCATCGGCTCACTATTTTGACATCATCGTCCCATGCTAGCAACACAAATGCAGCGGGACCACTAACAACAAGTCATAATCTACCTCTCCCAGGAGACTGAACATCACCGCTCGGTGACACGGCCCAACGGAGCAGGAGGGCAGTGATACCGCTATCGGAAACGGACCCCAGGTCTGGCCTGGAGACAGCCACACACAGCGGTAATATCCGGTACCGGGCGGATGTCAGCCGACGAGAGACGACCGCGGGTGTTCTGGGGCATGTGGCGGAGCTTTTTGTGTGCATCCGTAGTGATAGGAGCAAGATAAAACGGCGCTCGCTGAGCCAAATACCACCATTAATGAGCTGGTGTTATGTAATACCGTGCTGCACACTCCAGCAAAGCAATGGAATATAGTCGCGCTATTCAAGCTCACGCTGGTCGTCTAATGGTTTCCCAAGGGAGGTATCTGGTTGACATTTCAGGCCTTCTCCCATTAATATGCAATGCAGCAGTTGTTGGTATCACTGCGAATCCATATGCATTTAATCGTTCCCGCTGTGAAAAAGGCAGCCCTTCCGAAAAAGAAAACACAGATGGTTCAAGCTCATTCGATAAGGTATATATTGTTATAGGTATTTATGCACTGTCCAATGTCGGACGCATGCACTCCCCGACGCCCAGTGAGGCACGTAAGGATCGAGATATTTACTGGCGTCTCCCGCCAACAGGCCCCCAATCACAGCATAAACGAGATACAAAACACACGACACTTCGTCCAGGATGAAAATGAGGGCAGTGAACACAGGTATCGATGACCGTATGAGATGGGCAATGAGGTAAAACAATAACAACGCTAACCTACGGGCGCACTGGCTGCGACCGCCACCTGTCGGCGGCGGCGGGTACTTGTGTTACGACTGAGTGACGGCAGGTGACGCTGCGGTCGCTGAGGAGACTGCCGCGGCCGCAGGGGACGACAGAGTCGCTGCCACGAGCGGGGCGAGCAGGTCAGCCGGCCGTGGCACCGGCTTCTGATGGACCGCAGTTGCAACGGATACACCTGTGGAAGACAGTAGCCGGTTAAAAGGCAATACATGAGAGAGCGAGTGAGCAAGTGAGCAAGGTTCCAGCGCTGATAATAATAAGCCGACGCGACAGCTAGGCTCAACCGAAGTTAAAATTTTGTGGACCTCAGCTGAGCACTGTCGTTGGGGCATAAAATGAGCTGCATCACACAAAATTCAATGCAGAATCTCAGTCCCTTGTTAAGAATTACCAGCATGCATCAGTGAATGGGACAGGAAATCGAAAGCTATCCGTCCTGCCGCGGCCGCACAACCTCCTGACTGCACCGGTTCCCCGTCCCTCCAGAGACCCGTGAAGCTATGTGGATCGAGCTCTGACACATTCATACTCCCACATACTGACACATTCATACTCAGAGGTGGCGCTGGTTTCGCTGCGCCTGGACGTGATGTGCGCGCTCGTGAGTTTTTCAATGTTTTAACCGTCATTAGTTTAGTGTCGCTGTTAAACTCTTGCCAAAATGTGTCAAAGTGCTTTCTGGAGGTGGTGCTGTGCATTATTAGTGACACTTATCCCTCTCGGGCGTAATATCTCCGCCCCAGTGACCTTACCGAGTGCGCCTAATTCGTCTCGCCCCGAGTTTGCTTACACCAGAAACCGGGGGCTTGGTGGTGCGACAATCGGCGTGACCTTGAACTCTCAGTCAGCTGCTGATCGCCGAGATGCTCCGCCCACCGAGTCAAGTGATGATGATGATGATATTCCTCCCGGCCCCAGCTATTGCCGGGGCGTAGCCGATCGGCTCTGGAATGAGCGAAAGCCGGCGGCAAAGGCCGCCACCACGTCGTCCCGTCGTAGGTCAGGTGGTCGACCGTGCATGTTTCCCAGCGCGTGGAGGCGCGTGCCGCACAGGCACGGGCAGCGAAGCAGCACGTGTCGCGGCGTATCCGCCTCCTCGCCGCACACCAGGCATCGAGCCGCTGGGCACTCGGTGTCGGCGCAGCCCTGACAGGTGTCAGTTGGGCGGCGTCCGATGCGGTGCAGGTACTGGGCCGACTGGCTCCAGTGTCCCGCCCGCAGCTGATGTGTGTCAACCGCGGCCATCCGGTTGTCACCGCTGACCGGTCCCGGTAGATGTTCTTCACCGAATATTTCCTTGTACCAGCCGTCTGGCCATGCACGTTGCCACTGGCGCCGGGCAGACCTGGCGGCGGCGCGGGTGGCGCTCCTGGTGTCAATAGGGGCATTTGACTGGTCCATGCCTGCGGCCTCCTTTGCGATTGCATCGGCGCGCTCGTTGCCGGCCAGGCCACAGTGGGCGGGCACCCACTGGAGGTGCACCGGTCGACCGCGCTCCACCAGTAGCAGCAGCTGCTGCCAGATGGTGGCTCCCAGCTGGGTAGTCTGGGCTGCGGGACCGCTCTCCAGTGTCATCAGCGCCGCACGGGAGTCTAGGCAGGCTATGATTGGGTCGTCACCGCCGGCGGGGGCGGCGTCCTCTTGCTCGATCTCCACGATCTTTGCGAGCGCGTCTCGGAGTGCAACCAGTTCCGCTCTTGTGCTCGAACAGTAGACGCCTGCTGGGGTTCTGACCTCTTCCGTGTTGCCGTTCGGGAGGGTGATGTGGGCGCCTCCTCCGCCCGATGTCACTCCTCCTGTCGCTGATCCGTCCGACCATATCCAGATCGCGCGCTCCGCCCCCGGGAGCTTCTCTAGTAGGTCCTCTGCCGCGGTTCTCCGGGACTCATCTGATCTGCCTCTTGCGCATGCGGGTCCAGCGGTGGGGGCGATGGAGACTCCTTCCGTAGGAGTCCACGGAGGGAGAGTTGCCGCAAGGCTGGGCTCGACTGGAACATCCAGCGCTCCCAGGTCGCGTAGGGTGTTGCGCCCCAGCTCGCGCCAGCCGCGAACGGCGGAGAGGCGGGAGTGCTGTGTCGCGGTGGCCACGGCTCTCAGTGGGTCGTCTGGAGGCAGCGAGGCTGCTCTCATCACCATTCTCGTGGCTAGAGTGGTGCGTCGCATCTCTGCCGTGGCCATGCCGGCCTCCGCCATCAGGCCGTGCGTCGGCGTCGACATGGGACAGCCGGTGACTGCCCTGGCCGCCGCGCGCAGTTCCCGATCGACCAGCTCCACGTGGGACGGGGAGGCCGCCGGCAGCCAGGCTGCTGCAGCGTACTCTAACGCGCCGCGAACATAGCCGTTGGCTACTGTGCGCAGGTGATGCTCTCGTAGTCCCCATGAGTGGCCGGTGAGCTTCCTCAACTGTGCTGTGCGTGGGCGGACCTTGCGGCGCAGGCTGGCGCAGTGCTCGCCGAAGTGGAGGAGGCGGTCTAGCGTCACTCCCAGCAGCTTGACATGAGATGTTGCGGTGACGTCCGATCCTGCGACCTTGAGCGTGACATTCTTGGCGTCAGGGGCCCACTGAGACAGAACCAGGATTTGGGTTTTGTGGCCGGCGATGTTCATCTTGTTCTTGGTCGCCCATCTCGCCATCATGTCTGCCGATTGCTGTGCTCGGGACAGAGCCATCTGGATGTTCGGGCCGGCGCTCACTGTGGCGGTGTCGTCTGCGTACATGTAGCAGTCCGTGCGGGGCACCTTGCGCAGCTCCTCGATGAGGTCGGCGGCCCAGAGCGTGTATAGGGTCGGCGCGAGCACGGATCCCTGCGGCAGGCCGGCTCTGAAGGGCCTGTCCCGGCTGCGAACGCCGTTTACCTCCACGCAGGCTCGGCGATCCCTGAGCAGCTGGAAGATCCAGGTGACGAGGCATTTAGGTAGGTGTCTCAGCAGTTTGTTCTGGAGCATCTTGTGGTCGATGGTATCATATGCTCGCGCGAAATCGTAGGCGACGAGCACAAACTTGTCTGCAGTGATGCCGTCCTTTGGGCGGCCGCGAGCCTTCGGCTTGTTCCAGCCATCTTGTACCGACTGGATCAGCCGGCTCAGGTTATCTTCAGCGGCGCGGCCACGGCGGAAACCCACCTGCTCCGGCGGGATCAGACAGTGCATCTCGCAGAGGTGCGTGAGACGGGCGGCCACCATCCGTTCGGCGAGCTTAGCCACAGTGCTCGTCAGGGCGATTGGACGATAGCTGGAGACGTCCTTGGGGTTCTTCCCTGGCTTCGGGATCGGGATGATAGTAGCCCGTTTCCAGCTTGCCGGGATCGCGCCCTTTGTCCAGGTCGAGTTGATCAGATGGAGCAGCGTCTCGCGCGCTCTGGGGCCCAGGTGCTGCAGGTGCTCCGCGCATACTTGGTCCGGACCCGGCGCCTTCCGCGACTTCATCTTCTTCATCTGGGCGTTCATCTCTTGCATAGAGAAAGGCTGGCAGGCGTCTGTCCTGTTATTACCACAGGAGCAGGGGGCCCGCCGACGTCCTTTCAACTCCGCCTTGGTGCGCCTGTCCCACTTCTTGCTGCGCACGTGCTTGCTGACAGCAGCGTACGTTGCGACAAATGCCTCGGCCTTGCTACGGTCCTCCACGGCCTCGCGGCCGCGGTCCCCGTTGATAGCTTGGCCAGGGGCAGTTGACTGTACACCGCCCTCCATCTTGCGGAGCAACTTGGTGATACGGCCCAGGTTCGTATGTTGGTTGAGCTCTTCTGTGGCGAACGTCCGGAACGCTCTCTTCCTCGCTTCCTCTTCGGTCTCCGCGACCTTCTTCTTGGCGCGTTTCCACGCCTCGCGGTTCTCCGGTGTGGGCGACTGATCGAGGGCAGCCCTCGCCTCTCGTCGCTCCGCCACGGCACGCTCCAGCTCCGGGTCCAGCGCCCATGGCTTCGGGTCGGCCCTGGCCCCTCTGGGTATGTGTTTCGCGCTGGCTTGCATGATGGCGTCTGTGAGGCGGTTGCTCAGCTGATCGACGGTCAGATGAGCAGGCGCGGCGGCTGTGAGTGCAGTCTCGCAGTCTTGGGTGTACGCCGTCCAGCTCGCCTTCCGGAACGACCATCGGGTCTTCCGGATCCGTCGAGGCCGGCACCCGCTGACGGTGACTGTCATCACCTGTGGCAGGTGGTCACTGCCCAGATCATCACCGGTACGCCAGGTGCAGCGTCTTGCCAGGTCTCGGTGTGCCATGGACACGTCCGGTGCAGTCGGCGGGCCGGTTCCGTAACCAGAGCGGGTGGCAGCTCCGGAGTTGAGGGCCTCCCATCCATTGGTCTCCATCCAGTCTTGCAGCAGTTGGCCGGTACTGTCTGGCTCGGTGCACGACGGGTCCCAGGTTCCGTGGTGGGCATTGAAGTCGCCAGTGATGATGGCGCTGCTGGTTGTTGGGAAGGCGGCCATGGAGAACCGATCCACGCGTTCGTCGTCCCCTGTGGCTCGGATCGGGGGCCGGTATACGTTGTGGACGTCGATGCTGGTGATTGAGCTCGGTCTTGGTCTTGCTTTAGTGTTCTGCGTCTGATTCGGGTGACTAGAGTAGAGGAATACCCGGGTGGCGCACCATTCCGTGGAGTCGTCCAGAGGGTGGAGAGGCGGTTGGTCGATGGTGGTGAACTGAAGGCCGTCGCGAACGAAGAGTGCCACGTCTCCGCCCTTGACAGGTCCGCCGTCCCTCCTCCCACGCGCCCGACGGGTGACCACAGCTGTCTGGTACCCAGGAATTGACGGGTTCTTGTTGGCCGCTAGCTGAGCCTCTTGCACAGCTACCACGTCCGCCTTCGTTGCGCTCAGCCAGCGTTGGAACTCCTGCATCTTAGTGCGGAGCCCCTCCGCGTTCCAGGACACGATGACCAGGCGGCTTCGCGCGGAGCGGTTCAGGCGGTAGCGGCGGTTCTTGGCGCGGCGACTCCGTCCTCCCCGGGCACGGTCGCTGCGGACACCCGGACCCCCGCCGGGGGCGCTACCGGCGGGGTCCGTGTCGCTCACTTATCTACTGGGACCGGGGCCGCCTCGGCTCTGCTCGCCGCGCGGCACCCGATCCCGTAGATGCTCTTGGATGTTGAGGTTGTTGGACGACGTGGTGGCGCGTCGGCCACCGGCGTTCGCCCCCTGCAGGAGGCGTGTTGTGGTCGTTTGGTTTCCCCCAAGCGCTCGCCACGCCTGGGGTGGGGCCAGGCCCCTCCACCGTCCACCTCGAGGAGGCGATCCACGTCGGACGGCACCGAGTCAAGTCGACCGAGTCAAGTCGACCGCCGTGCGGGCCGGTGCTTGCCGCTGACAGCGCCACCTACACGCTGCGAGAATTACTACAGCTTCGGCAACGCTCCAAGGCGCCGCCGTGTGCTGCGGTGACCGCTCTGCTGAGTGAGCTCGGTCTTCGGAGACATCGTCACCGTGGAGTACGAGGTGGCCGCAAGTCCCACCGTCCAATCCGAGTCCGTGTTACCGACCGCGTGGCGCCCTGCTACGCGTTACGGGCACGTCCCGGTGGAACTTCACAGCCGAGACCGGCTCGTATCCAGGAGGACGTTAGAGGGCAGCACCTGGCCCGGCCGCCCCGCCTGACGATCCGTCAGACTCAACAGGCCGTGATCCGGGCTGCGGCAGACGCGACGTCTGGACTAAGGATTGGACATCTTAACGTGCGGTCCCTGACTGCTCACCTGGATGAGGTGAATCACCTGCTGCTGAGGGAACAGCTCGACGTGCTGTGCCTCAGTGAGACGTGGCTGGCCGACTCCGTCGACACCCGCATCCTGCTGTTTCCAGGCTACGCAATAAGCCGGAGAGACAGGCCGGGCGGCGGTGTGGGCGGAGGTGTGGCAATCATCTACCGCGAGAACGTGAGCGTGGAGCTGTTACGGGTCCCAGCAGCGTCTGCCGCCCTCGAATACCTCTGGGTGAAACTTATCCTCAGGTCGCCGGTTATCGTCGGCGCCGTTTATCGCCCACCGTCGAGCTCGGCAACACCAGCTATCGATGATTTGCACGGCCAACTGACCAGTGTCCTGGCTCACGGTCTGCCGCTGTACCTGCTCGGTGACCTCAACATCGATGTCTCTCGGCCTGAGAAGCAAAACGTGACGTCATATCTCCAGCAGCTGAGCGATCTCTCGCTAGTGCAGCTCATCACAGAGCCGACTCATCCTGGATCAAATCCATCGCTGATTGACCATCTAATCACCAACAAACCAGAACTGGTTTCACAAGCGAGAGTCGTGGCATGTAACATCAGCGACCACGACCTCATCACTGCAACAGTATCTGTGACCAGGGTGAAGCACGTGGTGAATACTATCACTACAAGGGCCACGCGACGAGTCAACACCGATGCCCTGTGCCTGGACCTGCTGCAATCTGATTGGTCATCAATCTATGATGCTGACTCAGCTTCCAACAAGTGGAACAATTTTCTCCAGATCTGGGACCCCATCATCAACTCGCACATGCCAGTCCGGACCATCAGGCTGAAACACAGACCGTACCCCTGGCTAGATGATGAGGACGTCAGGGCGGCTATGGAGGCACGGGACAAGGCGCGAATCGATCGTGAGCTCACCCCTTGTGACGCCACGAGAGCGGAGTTCCGAGTACGACGGAACGCAGTCAAGATGGCGCTAAATCGGGCTTGTGCATCCCACTTCGAGACGTCATACAGGAACTCGAGGTCCAAGACGTGGAGAGACATCCGTCAGTTTCTGGTTTCGTCCAGCAAAGCGACTCCCAGACCCAACACCTCACCGGAGCACGACCCCGAGTGGACGGACCGGCTGAATGCGTTCTTCGCGTCGGTGGGAGGTGAGGTGGCGTCCTCTCTGGCGGCTGTCGACAGCGGCGAGCCGCTCCCGCCACGCCCTCCACGCGTATGCAGCGGTGCGTTCTCGCCTCGACCTGCCACGCTGCCGGAACTGTCGGCAGCCCTGCAGAGGATGGGATCTTCCCGAGCCTGCGGTCCAGACGGCATCACCATCGAGATGCTGAGGCTGACGTTTGCTGTAACTGGTCCCCATATCTTACATTTGATAAACACGTGCATCACAAAGTGTGACATGCCTAGAGAATGGAAGTGTGCTGCTGTTGTGCCCCTGCATAAGAAAGGTGACAAATTAGACCCTAGTAATTACAGACCAATCTCCATCATTCCGGTTGTAGCAAAACTGTGTGCACGAGTAGTTTGCTCCCAGCTGATGGAATATCTTGTGAGTCACCATGTATTATGCCCACAGCAGTACGGTTTCCGACCCGGCATGTCGACGGAGGCGGCTATGCTCGACGCGGTCACATTCGCCACTCACAACATCGACAGAGGCTTCGTGACGTCACTGGTGACAGCTGACACATCCAAAGCCTTCGACAGCGTCGAGCATGGCCGTCTCCTCGACAAGCTGGGTTGGTATGGTATCCGACCGGATTGGTTCGCTGAGTGGTTACGGGGCCGCGCACAAACTATAGGGTCCTCAAGCGCGGTGAAGGTGACGCACGGCGTCATTCAGGGATCCGTCTTGGGTCCTGTCTTGTTCCTCCTCTTCACTAACGACTTTGTACAGCATATGACCCACGGCAAGGTGGTTATGTACGCTGATGACGTTCAGTTCCTTGACGCTGACTCTCCTATCAACGTTCAGGCCCTTAAATCCCGAGTCGAATGCAATCTCTCTCTGGCAATGAAATGGTTTAACTCAAAACAGGCTAAAAATAAACCCATCAAAAACTGAAATGATCATTCTCAAATCCATCCGCCAGGGTATGGATACCAGTTTTTCGGCCTACTTTGGTAATGACGAAATTTCACCGTCTTCAAGCGTCAAGGTCCTGGGCGTCACCGTCGACTCCCACCTGACCTGGGAGAAACATGTCACCGCCATCGTCCAACGCTGCAACCTGATATTGATCAGTCTCGCTCGGCTGCGCAACAGAGTCCCTAAATCCACGAAGCGCATGCTCATAGAAGCGCTTGTATTCCCGCATATACAATACTGTATCAGTGTTTGGGGAAGCTGCAACGTTACCCAGAAAAAGCGCATTCAGAAAATAATCAACTTCGGTGCTCGCATAGCGTGTGGCCTGAGCCGGCGCGAACATGTAACCCCAGCACTGCAGGAGCTAGCCTGGAAATGTGTTGACGACCTGATTTGCGATCATGATCTCACCATTGTACGACATCTGCTGACCTCAGCTAACGCCCCTGAGATCTTGCGTAATAAGCTGGTCTTAAGATCTGACGAGTCTTCCAGATGTACTCGTGCGACCGAGAATGGACTATTGAATCTGCCTCGTGTCAAAACCGAGCTCGCCCGCCGTGGCTTCCTTTTTCGTGCTAGTAAGGAATGGAATGGTGTTTAGTGGTTTTTAGTGTGCTCGTACTTTTGCTATGTGGTTTTAACTAGATATTCTATATTTTTATTTCGCATTGTATATGACGTGGAAGTCACAAAACCCATTGTATGGAGACTCCGAATAAACGTCTGTCTGTCTGTCTGTCTGTCACATATACACCCAGGCTCCGATACCTCTACAGACTCCCACTCGTACACTTTCACACTAGTTCCTCCACGCTCGTTCTCGTACCTCTGGCCTGCACGGTGGCGGCGGCGCTGGCCGGCAGCTGCACCAGTTTGTAGCCGTGCAGCGTCCTCAGTCCGCCGGAGAGCAGCTGTACGGGCGACTGGGCGGCCGAGCTGAGTACTACCGGCCGGCCGGCGGCTACAGGACGGACGGCCGAGACCGCGCCGCCCGCCTGTGACGGGGCGGGGGACGGGAGGTCAGAATATGAGATCGAAGGGAGCCATATGTAGCTGAGCCACCGTGCGCCAGGTGGTTATTGTTAATAGCGGATTGTGTAATGTAAAAAAGCTTGTCAGCCGCAAACACAGCTAGTGTGTGGCAATGGACGGCGCAAAGGCCGTGAACAAAGTGCGATTGAAGAGACCAGAAAACGTCTTTAAGTCCGATTGAAGAGACCAGAAAACGTCTTCCAAGACTCACAACTCATCTCCGGGTGGAAGCGCCATCGTCCGTCACAAACCTTCCTTCCCTCTACCTTCAGTCCCCACACTCCGCCTTGAAAGACCCCATCCTATCAGTATTGCAGTCCCACTATCCGGTCTCCCCTCCTTACCGCCAGCTGAAGTTGGGATGTGGCCACTGAGATCTGCCGGGTGGGAGCGACACCCGACGCTGGTACCACGTGAGTAGCCGCCTGTAGCACCACCTGGGGAGCAGAGGCCGCGTCACTGGCAGCCATAAGCTCGGCAGTCATAGGCGTCCATCTATACCCAACGGCCCAACAATCTACAAACGTAGAACATAGAACGTGTCCTGTGTGTGCGGAACATCGGAAAACGCAAGAACAGCTGAAGCGATGTAAATTAAATAACAAGCATCGGCATAATCTGGTGCCAGAAAGACCAGAAGGTAATGTCGAAAAGCAGTGCAGGGGAAATCGAAAAAAGAGCCAGAGACACCGCCACATCCAAAGATACGTCCAGCGAATCAACTGCACCTTATGACCTGTGCCCTGCGCCGTTTGACCTATGACCCGCGCCACCCCGTCGGCGTCTCCTCACCTGCTGTGCGGGCCGCACGGTGTGCACGCTCTGCATACCCTGCACGGCCTGCACCGTCTGCGTAGGCGCCTGCACGCGCTGCACCAGCTGCGGCTGAGGCGGTTTGGCCGCCGGCCGGGCGGCAATCAGTACCTGCCGGCCACCGATCTGGGCCAGTGTCAGCGCGCCGGCCGCCCCGCTGCCCGCCTGCTGCTGTAGCAGCCGCGACAGCTGGGAGACCGGGATGGTGATGTGTTTCAGGGCGCCGCCGGCGGAGCCCGCAGTGACAGCGGCGGCGGAGGTGGCCGCGGCGGGGGCGCCGAGCGTGACAGAGGTGACTGGTGCCGGTGCCAAGGCGGCAGGAACGGCAGGAAGCGCAGTCGAGCCCGATACCTGGTGGAGGAACACACCGCCGGTTACAAGATTACTTTACTGGTAGAGTCGCGATGGCACGCCGAGTTACCGTGACCATTGCATAAGCGTACCCGCCTGGCGTAGTCACTCTAGCGTCGCAGCTATAAAAAGTACACATTAAACCTTGCCACCACCAGACCTAACAGACATACAGTCTTCACAGACCATATCGCCCCGGAATGCGGCGCAGTAACTACAGGCTAAACGGAACCAGCCCTAGTTCTGGTGAACGGCGCGTGGCCACGACATGTTTATATAACATTGGTTCATTATGAAATCCTAGACAAAGTTAAATTATGTGTATTTATTCAGGAAATTTCGAAGAAAAACAGCCACCGAACTATTATGTTTAAGATAACGAACAAGAGCATGGTGAACATCATCTGAACGATAATGGAAACGAGCACTGCTTCAACCGACGACTGGATCATATATTTAAAACCAGTAAAACGCCTTTTGGGGGCAGCAAGCGGAGCGAGGGAGAGGGTGAACCTTGCACGTGCGATATTGCGAGGGGGGACTTCTAACTGACTTATGCACGGCACCTCACTACACAGTGTCTAGCGATGTGCACAATTTGATCACAATCGGCCCAGCCGTTCTCGAGGTCTGGAAGCGGCACCCTGCACGTGAGCACATGCAAACTGGGTCCCAACTGACTTTTGCACGGCACCCTACTAACCGGTCCCTAGCCGCGTACCAAATTTGAGCGTAATCGGTAAAACCGTTCTTGAGATCTGGAAACGACCCCTGCACGTGCGCACGTGCAACAGCACCCCAACCGTGACACATGGGAATGCATTGCCTGGTGGGTCCCTCCCCCTACCTACATGTCAAGTTTCAGCGCAATCGGCCCAGATATTACAGAGATATCGCAATCATTGCAAAACTGACACCTCTTCGTTTTGCACGTGGCACGTGCATATGGGGGGCATCCACATTCCACATGCATCGATAATAGTTCATTTCTTGGTAGAAGGAATGAAGCTACCCTACACAAATTACCGCAAGTAAATCGGTCCAGTAGTTGTTGGAGATATAAACTTCGTAAAAGCGTGACCACGGCCGGCCGGCCGGCAGCTCATACCCAGAAATTTATGGTATTCTACGAAAGCCTTCGCTCGCTCCGGCCTCCGTTCGGTCCGTAATAATACCTTTTTCACAATGGCCACTATCAACGTCTAACCGATTTATAGCATGTACCGCCATGTTTCTCTCCTCTTACCCGTGAAATCAACGACCACCAGACTTACTCCCTTCCGCCCGTCCGTCCGTCTCCCAATCCCCGTCTAACTCACCTGAACGACCTGTTGCGGCGCTATTGCCGCGCTGGCCACCGGCGCCACCGCCACCGGGGCCGGCCGGCTCAGCAGCGGCCTCCTCGGCGCCTCCTGCACGGTGACAGCCGGGGCCGCCGGCCGCACGCGCGCCGCCGCCGCCGCCACCGGCCGCTGCGGGGCCACCACCAGTGAGGCGCGCGGCCGACCGTCCACCGCCTTCACAGTGGCTGGCTGGTTAACGATCGGGATCAGCTTGCCGTTGGCGAGGAGCGCCAGCTGCGGCGCGGCGCCCGGGGTTTTCGAGGGGATGTGTACGATGGTGTGCTGGTTTTTCACCACCTTCACCGACTGCACGGTGGGTGGGTGACCGGCGACGGCGGCTAGAGGCGGGCTGGCGGCCACAGCCGGGGACAGCGCCGCCGCCCGAGACACCAGCTGCAGTTGAGCCACGCTCGCCGCCGTCGGAGCAGCGGCCAGCACGGCCGGCGCCGGCACAGCGACGGAGGCGGGCGCGGGAGCCAGGGGGACGTTGGGAGGCGCGGCCGGGAGGATACTCTGCACCGCCAGCTCCGTCTGTGTCAGAGAGGTCGGCTCTGACGGAAGTACGGCACTCACTGCCGCTGCAGCAGGAGCCGAGCCCGGCGCGACCGGCGGAACCGGCGCCGGCGCGCTGAACTTGGGCTGGGCCACCGTCAGCGCACCAGCCCGCGGTTTGAGCAGTGAGGCTCCCGCTGGTGCCGCTCCCACGGCCACCACGGTCGCCGCCGCCGACACACCACCAGTCGCAGACACCGCCGGCGTCGGCGCGGAGCGTTTAACGGCCTGCCTGCGGCGCGGACAGCTGGCCTGGCGCTGCCGCTCCAGCGTCTCAAACTCGGCCTCTGTGCGGTGCCGGTGCAGATACATCCACACCTTGCGGTGCGAGTCGTAGCGCAGGCACGGGTCCACCTCTGCCTGAAGCCGGTCCATGGCCGAGCTGACTGCGGCCGAGACCGGCTGATCGCCGCTGCCGGCCACCAGGAACCCAGAGTCGCGCACCAGCTCACAGACATCCGCGCGCGAGCCCTCGCCGTTGGGCAGGCGCGCCACGGCATCCCGTACCAGGCTGAGCAGGGTGACACCGGGCGGCCGGGCGGCGGTCAGCAGCGCGTGGCCGCGGCCCGCCTTCGAGTCTCGCCCGCTGCGCACAGGGCCCACAGTGGACCGGTAGCCGTGCAGGCGGTACGTGAAGGCCCGCCGCGGCGCCTGGTACCGCAGCCGCTCCTGTGGGGACGCAGGGGAAGGGTCAGACGAGGTATAATACTGACGGTGATGAACACAAATCTCAATGAGTGGCATTAACACGGTGGGGCATCTGACCCTCGCAGATGCCGTATTTTAGAGTGCGAGGGCAGCACTTCATACGAGAATTACAGGATAATTAAATGAAACGTGCATACTAAATGAAACGTATGCGGCTGTCAATACAAACACCATGTTCTCAAGTGCCGGTACCGACTGACCTGTTGTCTGTACTCGTCCTTCTCGGCTGGTGTGCTCGGTACCACGGTCCACGAGGTGGGGTGTAGCGTTGCCGGAGGACCGCTGCCGTCTCCTGACGGTTCCCGCTTCACGCTGATCGTGTCCCTGAGGGAGGGGGCACCGGCATACTGTCAGTGACAAAGGACAATCGACAACATAGCAAATTCCATTCAACCGAGGATGTCAGTCCTCTGTCAAGGGGCCCGTCTATTAGACTTTGCACAACTTTCATACGGCCGAGAAGATGTGAAAGAAATCAAGCTCTACCATACAAGCTAAGCAATACACGTAACAAGCACTACACGTAAGCAAGAATATCCTTGAGATGATAACAAGAGCCAACTATTGTAAGTTCGACTGACGAAACTTATACCATCCCTCTCCGCTGATCTCTCATGTACTGACTTTCTCTGGAGCCAGTAGGCGCAGAGCGACTCGAGGTGAATGTCGGAGTCGCGGCCCGCCCCGATCCACTGGTAGATGCCCGACTCCCGCACGTGGTCCAGAAAAGGCACCAGGTTTATCTGAGATTGCAACTCTGTAACACACAGGGAATAGGATGGTGAGATTGGTGGGGTAGAGATAGTTAACAAGCCGAGTGGAGTGTATCAGACTCAGTGCTGGAAATGAGGCCGCTTTCTGGTCCCGGCGTTTTATTCTCCGGGTGAGTTAGCCCCGTCTAGCGCTTAGCCTTTCGGGACCCTTTCAGAGCCGCGATTGTTTTCCCCGCTCGGCCCATTCGAGATGCAAAGTTGATAGTCGCACGAAGTTTATTTGGGGCCTCTGAATTTACGAATTCGAAATCAATCGATTCTACAAAACCTTTTTCTTTCATGTATATGCATATATTAACAGTAACTCCAGACTAGACTGGTTTGGCTGGCCCTAAATAAGCTTCGTGTGACTATTAAGTTTGCATCTCGACTCGGGCGAGCGGCGAAAACAACCACGACCCTGAGTGGGTCCCGAAAGGCTAAACACTGAACGGGATTAACCCGCGAGGAAAATAAAACGCCGGGACCAGAAAGCGGCCTCATTTCCAGCACTGATCAGACTTGTGTATGGTCCCTGCTATAGGAAGGACTGACTGCTATGACTGCTATATAACACTGATAACTGACAGCTATAAGAAGTCAAATCTAAAAAAAAACACCAGTCACAACATTATCCTCATTCTCGCCAGCATCAGTCCTCTGCCAACCAAGAAACAGCAAACCAACATCAAAATAATCTCAGCTATCATCCATCCCGATTCAGCTCCCTCTCAATTCTCATCAATTATACCAAACTACCACCTCCTCTACCCTCTCCCGTCTCTCGAATTATTGGGGTACCCAGAACGTCCACTCACTCCCACGTCCCGTGCCTCCCCCAGCATGGACCCCCACTCCAACCCACCTCTCACTTCTCCCGACAGGAAGGCCAGCGCCGACCCTAGCGCCTCCACCCAGCTGCTCTCTCGGCCGTACCAGTCATTGAGCGCCGCTATCGGCGAGCGCTGCCACGCCGTCACCGCGCTGTACACGCTCGTCTCGGCCAGACGGTCGGCCGGGTCCGAGCACAGAACGTCACGGAGCAGGGAGAAGAAGCTGGTGTGTGTTTTCTGGCCGAGCGCGGCGGACTGCCAGCAGGCGGCGGCGGCAGAGGTGGCGGTGGCGGTGGGGGTTGGGGCAGGAGCGATGACGGTAGATGGAGGCGGCGGCGGCGCCGGCGGAGGAGGCGGGGGAGGTGTGGAGGACTTTTTGACGACGGTGGCAGTCACGGCCCTCGAGGGAGCGGCGACGGCGGCGGTGTCGGAGTCAGAGTCGGTGGAATGGCCGGCCGGGGAGGAGCGCTTCAGCAGCGACTGCAGGTCCAGACGCTGCCGGTCGCGCGCGCTGACCGCAGGCACCTGTCGGCAACAGGACGAAACACGCGCTGGTGAGTGGTTAGCCGCATCATACTGACATTCCAACGCAAGCGCCGCACGTTTCCAGAAGTGACTAAAACGGGATGGATGAGCAACTATATATCGGTGACGTAATAAAATCGAGACAAACTAAGCTGTCCGTAACGCATTTTTCAACACCATTACAAAACAGCCAGCTGAAACACCAGAACCAAGTGCTGATCATTCCGCCCTCAGCACCCCGGCCCCCCTCCCTTCCCTGCTCACACCCCGCCCGCTTCTGACCTGTCCGCGGGCACGACGCTTCCGGTGCTGTTTCAGCAGCTGTCCCAGCCGCGCCTCGGCCACCTGGTACGGGTTATCCTCGGGTGAGGCGTGCTCGACCAGGTGGGGTCCGCGGGTCATCAGCCGGCTGCTCGTGGCCGCCACCGGCACGTGCTCGCCGCCCAGCGTGGCCTCCAGTTTGGTGAGATGGCGCTGCTGCTTCCGTGATAACACCGGTGGCGGCCCCTCTGTGGACGAGGAGGGTTATATACTGGCAGACAGGACGGACGCCAAGACGGCACGGAACCGGAGACAGGATCGGCCATGGCATTTGAGCTCAGTGCTGGAAAAATATGTAAAGACGTGCAAATCAAATAAAACAAAATGATTAGAAGCAACGACGATAAAAAGAAACGAGCATAACAGTCTAAGATTACAATGTGACACAGGGTTTTAATGTAAACCGTCACCACTATCCTGCAGCTCAAATGCCACGAAATAATAATCCGTTAAATCCTGCGCGCACCTACCAGCTGTACGTTCACCCGGCCATTAGTTACCTGGGTAGTTTTCGTCGGGAGACAGCTCGTCGGCCGGACAGCCGGCCTCTGCCCGCACCAGCTCCAGCTCTCGGAAGTAGCGCTTGCGGGCGCGCTGCTCCAGCACGGCTCGCCGGCACTGAAGGAGGGCAGACAACACGATCAGAACACGACGCCCGAAAGGTGAAACGACTTCAAAGGTGGCACTAAAAGAAGAAAAAAATACTACAAGGTGATTTAACAGTACTGCTCCAAACACAGCAATAAAAACGAATAATAGTCGAAATATGGTTTTCCCGTGCCCTTCACCTTTTTCTTTGCAGGAGGTAGTGTTATGGGTGCATCCGGGGGCGTTTTGACGGCCGCGTCCAACAACTGTTTCCGCTTCGTCACCAGCTCTCTCAGCAGGTTGTCCATGTAGTTCTGCTGCCATACCCTGGATAAAGACGACGGTCATCCCGTGAAGCATCGATAAATACAATGGAGTGAACAAAAACCCAGTGGAGACATGTTTGATAAACCAGTAAAACACATACAAAGACACCTTTCTGGACCAAATTATTTAACCAATCACGTTTTTCAACGTCCCTTCACTTGAACTATGCATTAATCCTCAGTGATCCTTCTCCCCTGACCCTCTGGTGGCTCACTTTGCGTCGCGTTGGCGCGTCTCGGCGGTAAGTCTCCGCAGCGAGTGGATCTGGTCCGTCAGCCGACCGTCGTGCAGCAGCGAGAAGAACTGGTCCAGCGGGTTACCGAACCGAAAGTTCTCCCCGGCAAACAGTCGGCGAAGTGTCTCCTCCTGCTCCTTGCCGTCATCGTCTCCAGGAAAGGTAGGTAGCAGCGTCTGACGGTGGGGGAATCAGGACGTGTTAAGGGCGGTACGAAACTACGCATAGTTATGACTTGAGTAATGGTTCTTTTCCTAGTATCATAAAAAAACATACACACAAGAGCTGTGGCTGGTGGCAGACTAAAAAATGAGGAATGATGCTTCAACTGCAGGTGAGATGCGCCGCGGCACCATGCATTATGATGAGATCCACGTCCTGAGTCAGCGCGCCGGTGCCATTCCCTGCACTCCGAGTGACCCCCTGAGTGCCCCTCACCCGCAGGTGGTCGCGCTGCGGCTCGGCCAGCGCCTCCCAGGCGGCGCGGCTGAGCGCGGCGTCGAACGCGGGCCGCCGCTCGCAGACCACACTAGGAACGGCCACCAGTTGGCCGTTCAGTCTCAGCCACTCGGCCGGTCCGGCCATTAGCCCGCGTCGTCCGGCCACACAGCCTGCCGACACACCAGACACCGGCACGGTTAGCATTAGCATTGAGCAGGGGCCGGATAGGAATACAGGTGTCCGATGAACACTCACCCTGCTGGGAGGAGGGGGAGGGGGCTGAACACTCCCCCCCCCCTGCAGTTTTTCACACACCTTATCAGGCATCTTTTATGCACATGTTAAAATTTCAAATCAAGGTCACTCAAGTTCAGATCTGCATCAGGTCACGTAAAGTGACCTCAATTCATAAAAAGTTTCAATGCTAGACCGAGTGACTGATCGCTTTGAAACTTTCACCGATTGGTGAGAGTACCAGCATATACTAAACGTATATCTCAGAATTTCATATTGGTGACCTAAAGTGGGGTCAATTTCCCCCCTTTCCATTATAGGTCATATAAGAAAATTGAAAGGCGCCTCTTTTAGTCGAACAGTATTCTAAACAGTTTCAAACACCAAATTACAAGTAAACATGACATACTGAACCGGAAAATGATACCTGTGACCTCTCCTGATGTCCTTGAGGTGATATCAGGTCATGAAAGGTCCCCAGCAATTTTATTACAATAACTTTTGAGACATGCTAGAGCGATGAAAACACCTCAGATGTGTTCAGCTCGACAATACGGATCGACTGATATGCAGCAATCATCATGACCTTTTCTGGTCAAGTGATGACCTTGACCTGAGTTTTAATTGACCTGAATTTTCAAAATGACCTTTAAAGGTCAAATTATAGTTCATTCGTGGCTTGAGATGCGTCTTGACGAGAGGAACACAATGCTGGCAAAATAAATGTCATTTTCTTGAGTCAAAACTCAAAAGTTATTGCAGAAAAAATGTTTTTCATTATCAGTCGGGCACACTGTGGTATTTCCGATCCATTTATGGAAACGTTTCCATTTTTGGAACAATGTTCCAAAAATGGATACGCCGTTTCCAAAAATAGAAACGGTCTGTTCCATAAATGGAGACGCTGTGTGCATCGCTCCCTTTAAAGCAAACTGGGCATTGATTGGTGCAATTTGGCATGCGCAGGATGCCACCAATCGACAGCCAGCATTCTAGTTTATGTTCCTGTTCTCCGACTTTCCGATCAGAAAACCGAAAGTTGACGAACGAGGCGATGCTTATAACATGTTGACGTGATAAAAAATTCACACGTTTTTCTAATCGAAAATAATAACATTTATGAATGTTTTGAACAAAAAATAACGTTTTTAACAGACTACTGAAAGACAGACCCATTGATTGGAACAACCACATCCCCGGGAACTTCAGTTTTTCATTCATTTTCGCGCTGCGTTTTCCGGTGTACCAGCGGCCTGGTGGTCGTCAATCTTTGATTAAATCGCATGAAAGTTTTTGCAAAGCCTTATTCGGAGACTTAAGTGGGCATTTTATGATATTTCAAATGTGCTGAATATGATCGTAGGCTCGGATCAACATAAATCTCCGTGCAAATACGTAAAAAGCAGGATGGAAATAAGGTCTGCACCGTCGTCACACCAAATACCGTTGTATTCTGACGATGAATTTATTCATTCTAGCTCATGTGTAACATTGATATTAATTTTATATATTGAAATGATATCTACGCTTTATTTATTGCCCACTTTGGACCACATCTTTCCAGTAGTTTCTGGGAAATCTTAGTTTTAGTTGACTTTTGAATGTGCTCAAGTTGCGGCGCGTAATGTATTATTATCGAACCCGACGTCCAAGGTAACTGCCGAGAGCCGAGATGCTAAACCAGACCCAAAACATCAAATTTTTAGTTGCATGTGGATTTTAAAAACACATTTAAGCTAAGTTTACACACATTTGAACTTCAGCGTTTCTATTTTTGGAACATCGGCGTTTCCATTTTTGGAAACTAAGTCTCCATAAATGGATATGATTCAAGAGCATTTTAAAGACGTGAATTTGAATGCATATGACAGCTTTCCATGCAAGAAGACAAGTGCTTTTGGTGTATCTGAGCTTGTTTTACGCAAAACAGTTGTTATACATCAAATCCAGCCACCCCTGGCAAGAAAATATGTGCGGAGATGTTAGCGTTTCTATTTATGGAACGAGCGTTTCCATTTTTGGAACAGAAGAGTAGTCAAAATTGGAAACGTTTCCAATAATAGAAACGTCTCCATAAATGAATCGGAGATACCACAGTGCGCCCGACTGTTATAAGTTATAACAGCTATTTCTTAGTTTTGCCCTCTAGAGGCTAAGCCGTTGACCTGAGGTCAAATCTGAGCACAATACTCAGAAGGGTCTGTGAAAGAACTATCAAATGCATTGTTTATGGATGTAATGCATTATAGTATTGCAGTGCCCAGATTTGTCGCTCCACAGGGTCGCATTTCTTTTTATGGCTTGGGGCTTTAGCTCCTAACTGCCCCTACTCTGGATCCACCACACTATCACTTTACTTATGTGCACTTATTGTTTCATTATGTGGCCTTATTTTTCTAATTCATGCAGAATTAATTCATGCGGAAATTTAGAATTCTAGCATGCTCTGTTACATTACAATTCTGCCGTAGATACTTTGCAGTTCACTGAAATGGTAGTGTAATTTCGTTGTATGAAATATGGTTGGTATAATTGTAATAAATCAAAAGTTATTGTCCATTTCAGCGTTATCACGATGGTTTCCACGTTATTTAGCATGGAGAAGTAGATTCTGATATGTGTGATTTGATAGGCATCTGGCAAAGGTCTTAAAAATCACCAAATAATGTAAGAATATGCACAATTTATGCCTGAAAAGTAAGTCTGACTTGTTAACATTTACAACAAATCCTTGCAAAAGATTTTCATTCATTGAATGAACATCAAAAACTTAAAACTGAGTACCTACCCTAAGTGTTAATGTGTTAGCAATGGCCCCGGGGTAACAATAAGGCATAAATGATATTCCTATCAACAAAATCTTTAAGTTTGAGATGTTCTTATACTTTTAGCTGGTCAGAAAAGCAAACACTGTTCAGAAAAAAGTAATAATAAATTGAAAAGCTCATTGAAAGTTTATCAGTTACTTAAGTATTCAAAAAACGGTGAATTATGTATACCACCACAGTTTGAGAACCAAACTATAACAGACTAAATCAACACCAAAGAGTAGCAATAATAAAATACCTTATAAAATTGTAGTCTGCGCCAGATTGGCACCATTTGATAAATTTCGGTTGGCAAGCGCCCGATGGGAGCAGACATTTTGGCACCACCACCAAATATCAAAAATATTTTTACAATTTTTTCAGTTTGGCATTTCCTTAGCTTTGAAATTTTGCGTCCACGATGAAAAAAAAGTTTTTTTGTAAATAATAAAAGAATACGCTTTTTGCCAAGCGAAATCGAATACAACAACCTTGAAACACAAAAAGACAATAAACTAGTAAATACATATTCTGGCTAGGTCATACAGAATAACAGAACTCTTTCACCCAGAGCAGAACGAAAAAGCGCAGCACAATAAAGTTGATTAAGCAACGATATTTTTATCTTTCTTTTGAATACTTGAGAAATTTTTGAGTTTATGGTACATTAGGGCCCACTACACATTTTGGCATATTTCACATTGCATCTCAGATTCTCAACCCATTGACCGGTCTTGTTTTTCAGTGATGTTATCATAATTTATTTATGTTAGTGTCAACAATTTAGGCGAATTTTATTTCAGTCTATAGCGCATGCATTATAATAGATAAGCATTTCTTGACTCTTATAATGATTGATTTGTAGACACGATGGCTGGAGTGGCGCATATACTCGTGCATGTACATTTCCATCGTGTACGATGTCTAGCCATTACCATTATTCAACCGTCAGTAGGAATCGTGTGAATGTTGTTGATTTCTGGCCTATTTTCGGTTTAACATGCGTGTTCGTTACAAAACATTGCTTTCGAAATTCGAACAACGGCCTTCGCTTTTGGTGAAATTCATTTGGGGACAGGGGCGTCGACACCGGTCCGACTTTTCCGACTAGTCGGACCACTTTTTCGACTAGGCGGTGCCCTGCTGTGGCTCGCGAGGGCCCCTGCTGAAGACCGCGGGGGCCCTACTGCGGCTCGGGGGGCCCTGCTAGAGACCGCGGGGGCCCTGCTGCGCCTCTGGGGCCCCGTTAGACACCGCGGGGCCCTGCTGCGGCCCGCGGGGTCCCCTTCTGCGGCCGCGGGGGGCCCCTGTTGGGGCTCTCGGGGGGCCCTGCTGCGGCCACGGGGGCCCCTGCTGCGGCAACGGGGGCCCCCCGCTGCGGCTCGCGGGGGCCCTGCTGCGCCTCGCGGGGCCCTCGCGACACCTGGGGGCCCCACCGGTGGGGGCCCCCCGAGAAAAAGTCGGACCAGTTTTCCTTACGCGTCGACGCCCCTGTTTGGAGAGTTAAGCTATAACTTGTCTTCGCATATATAATTATTCTGCAAAATGAGCCTTTCAATTTACGTTTGCTACACAAGCTAAAATAAAGGACGAGGAAAAGAAGCAAAAGATCGTATACAACTTCAAAATACAACTGCCTACACATGCAAAGCGAGCATTAATTATTTTGTAGTGGTGATCGCGCAAGTTTTGTTTACTGCGCCGAATACGGTTATCTATACAACGAAATTCGTGAAAACTCATTGCGAACTTGCGAACATTGCGGTAAAAATCAAAATCGGGGTGCATTTGTGGAATTAATGCTCTTTATTTATTGCTTTATCGAAGACATCAATTGATTATTTTGGCACCCACCAAAAGAAAGCGTGACTCGAATAGCACACGCTTTTAAAGTAATCATCCCGCGCGAGCCGACTAGACAAGGACATCGATTGAGGTCAGTGTTTGACGGTTCCAGTTCCGTTTCTCTCATAGCTGTAGTTACATAGGTTTTTTTGGGACCTATGTGGATTGTGATGTTCTGTTTATCATGCTCTGATTATCATTCTGTTGAACACTTATTCCTTTGCAATATATTGAAAATAATAGTTAATGTTTATGTGTTCAACAACATATAGGTATGTTCGACAAAGGCCTGTGGCCGAGTTATCACATTTTCTACCAATAAAATACAGTTTTTTGGGACCTTTTTCATTCAATATCGAGATAAGGTCATGCTTCTATATTTTCAAATAACTATTACAATGTTCCTTGCACAAGCACTCAACTCCATCATTAATGTTTTTCTGTTAGTGTTCTTGTGTTTGATTTTTTATTATTAAAGGGAATAGTTCACTTTCCCGAAATTAGTTTTTGCAAAGGACTTATGATTTTTTTGCTCAAAATGATCAGCAAAGAAAAAAACTAAAAAAGATCTTTTTCTATATTTTAATATAACGAGAACTATCTTCTATATAAAATATTGTTTGACGCCGAATCTTACTACGCATTGACCAATCATATAGCATAGTCCAAACCCTTGGCTGTAGGTAAGTACCATGCTGATTGAGTGATGATGACTGCATTCTGCTGCATTCCTCAGCAAGGCATGCATTCCTCTGCATCTGCAAGGCACTCTTCGTAATGAGAAGTGGAATATATTCATCTAGAGTGATTGTTAAAGATTCTGATTTGTAGTCTCAGCTCAGGCTGAGGCTACAAGACTGCTATTCCATTTCAAAATTCCATGTTAAAAGTGAACTTTTTCTGTTAATTTACCCAAATTTATTGACTTGGACAATGGACATGCATCTATTGAATAATCAAATAGATTTATGTTTGAAACCTGTGATTGCATTTCAGTAATCTATGTAACCCACCAAGTGTTTTTGTGATCCCTTGTTGGTATGACATTAGGCAAATGAACCTTGACTTCCAAATGCTGAATGCAATGCAGGCTCATTGAATATGCCAGTTTCCTAGCTGCTGTTATGTCTTCCAGTTCCTTGACACTGCCCTGAGAACTGCAGGAAATCTCAAAATAAAAAGACTCAAAGAAAGAATTACCATTAAAGACTGAAGTAGTGAGCACTGGCATAGTAGTGAGCACTGGCATATCCAGAAAGGCGGTCTTGAACACTGCAGGGGCTTACTACCCCGAAAAAAGGTTCTCAATATTCCTAAAACCTTTCAGATTTCAATGTGCAGTTGTTGTTAAATTAGGTTTTTGTGTAATTGCTAAAAAACACGAATTTTTGTTCGGGCACTGCTGGGGGGGGGGGGCAAATGCCCACGCCCCCTGAATCCACCAGTGGTAATGAGAAAACACTTACCTTACCTTACCTTGAAGGTCATCAGGAATGGATAGAAAAGGCCACTTGGGCTATAGGTCCCGTTCTCACTGAGGTACTTGCAGAGACATTCAGGACTCTTAAGGTTGTGACATGACATACATTTAGTGGGTCCAGTGATGGTCAAGTCATGTCTTGAATGTCGAGAGTGTTTCGGCCTATACGACTTCCGTAGGTAGAGCGTTCTAGTCATTAAGCCGCGCCCTGTAGGGCGGCGGACCCTACCACCCGTAGGGGGGGGGGCGTTTCGCCCCCCTAAGGTCTCGGAAATTTACCGGTCGATTTTCAAAATTCAAACGGCGTTCGATAGCCCCACCGGGGAACTACCTTGTGACCAAATTTCATTGACCTAGGTCAAACCGATGACGTCACAGGTCAGGTGAAAGGTCGGATTTTCACCGTTCACAGGCATTTCAAGAAATGTGTTGTGAAATCGAGTAAATTGGTAAGTTATTGAAAACCATCGATGGTACATTGTTTGTCAAACACATATTTCGCTATGTGAGGTCACTGATACCAGGTCAGGTCACAGAGGTCAGGTCACTGGGGGTCACAATATGAAAGTGTCGTGTGATACATGTTTTATGGTCCATTTTACATGACAAATGCGATTATGTGGGTCAGGCAGCCTTTGAGGCCAGCTTAGGTCACGTTTTGGTGAAGGTCAGGTCAAATTAGGTCAAATTTCAAAGTTGATATTTTTGCATAAAATGGGTATCTATTCGATGCAGCTCGTCCCGGGGAGTCCAATGGTGGTCTTTGTTTTGGCCTACGAGGTCTAGAATTGCCAAAAATTCAGTTTAAAAATTAAAGTCATCATTTTTGAACAGTTTTTTCGCTATAACCTGGCCAAAAAACGAGATATCGATCTGAAATTTGGTACCTATGTAGATAGAAGACGATAGGTACGATCACATATATTCCGTTTTTTCGAAACTCAAAAAAACTTTTTGGATTTTTCGGCTAATATATCCAAAAAACTTTTTTATTTTTGGGGGTCAAAAATCTAAAATTTCAAAAATCCGAGATAGCAGTTTTGTAGCCCTGTCAATTCTACACCTTTTATGTCCTGATCATTTTTCTGTATCTTCAAAGCTGTAGGCCTGATAGATCTTCTCGCGAAGGTCTTTTTTTCGGTCGAAAATGACAGAACATGACGTCATTCTTACGTCATTTGTGGCCAACCTATCATAGCCTTTGGAAAAAAAATTGGTCACAATGTGTAAAATTGATGCCCGGAGGGGTTCTGAAAGTTTGGTGGCGATATCTCCAGCCGTTTGGGAGATATCGACGGAAAAGGACAGGGGGGGGGGGCTGTCTCGCCCCCCCCCCCTACGGGGCGCGGGTTGTTGTGGCATGACATACATTAGGTGGGTCCAGTGATGGTCAAGTGGTGCCTTGAATGTCGAGTGTTTCGGCCGATACGACTTCAGAAGGTAGAGCGTTCCAGTCGTTAATGATGCAGACTCTGAAGCTGCTTCGTCAGGCGAGAGTCACAGCTCGGGGCTTGAGCAGCTTCCACCCATGTCCTCTGATCACTTCGATCTCGTTATTGGTGAAGGTGGTTGGCGGCACATTGACACACTTTCATACTAATGATAAGTATTCTTTCTGTGCCAAATTACAAAACATGAACACCTGCACTGCTGGTATTATCACCTGGTATTCTCATCTGGTAGGGTTCACCAAGCCTAACAGCCCTAAGGATGGCCAAGGCAACCCAGGATCAAAGGATGCGCCAGTTGAGATAAGAGTACGCGGGTATAGAGGGGTTACATAACAAATGAGTTATAGCATCTAGATAAATAGCTCATTCGAAAAATACATGTGAATCAAGAATATTTGACACCAAGTTGCTCATCATCATCAACTACCATGCAGGCTGGTGCTGTTTGTCACGAATCGCATCGGCCAAGGCCCTCTTAAAACTTGTTAATTCAGGTGCGGTCACAACGTTTTCTGGGAGGCCGTTCCAGATGTGTATACATCGGATGGAGAAAGAGCGACGACGAACATCTAGTCTACTGTGTGGCACGCGTATCTTGTAATAATGGCCTCGAGTGCAGCCGTGTAATGGTTGAGAGAAAAACTTCTCAGGTTTTATACATGTATGATAAAACCTCAGGTATGACTTTTGCCATTAAAGATTTTCCAATATTGGCCTGCGCGCAGAAGCCTGCCTGCGACTGAATACAGAATACAGATCAAGTTTTCGCTGACGCTCCTCATAGTCAGATTCTGCAAATCTTCTATATGTCTAGACCACATCCTTAGGACACGTTTCAGTTTAACCTAATCCCCCCCCCCTGTATCCAGTGTTCCACACGCATGAAAATACGATATATGTAGGTTAATAGGTACACTGGTTAAATTGTTGGTACTGAACTTGAATTGTAGTCAGAAATGAATTAAATTGAATTGACATCACAAATTGTTAGTACTGATTTCTTCATGAACTTGTCCGAATTTCAAACTTCTAGGATGTAAACTGTAGTAATGGCAGAATTACAAAAGATTTTTAGAGGCATGATCACTTACCTTGACCTGGTGACCTTATGTGACCCGGGATCAAAAATTTCACACGATGCGAAATTGATGTATCATAAGCCATACCAAGTTTCGTGGCGCTGCGCGCCGTGGATTTCTTTACACACGCAAAAAAAAAACTGGCAGTTGTGACCAAAAACGCCTCCCCTCTCCCACCCGGGCAAAGGTAAAGAGTCGTGGACTGGTATGGGGAATGGGATAGCTTTGGCTAGGGGCTTAGGCCGACTGATATTGGGGATAAATCCAACCTGTTTCAGCTCTAGGTGATAAGTCGTCTTCTGGGTAAGCCGTTATAAGTGGCCTGCTGAAGTTTCGTCATTTATCACGGAAAACTTGAATAGCAAGACCGGGCATTAGGTTTTCAGGCTCATGTTACAAACCGGTTAAAGTTTAGAAGTCCGGAGCATATTATGGACTCGTATTTTTCATCCCAGTTTATAAATGTATAAACACATACGCGTGTTGATTATGTGCCAGACACCTCAGGATATTAATTAGTTGTCTGGGAAGTCACCTCCGCCGTGAGCCAGCAGGGACTGGCCGCGTGAATTGCCGTTCCTTGTGTCGGACCGCATCTGATGACCGCCGTCCTGTGTTCCCCAGGCACCAGGCCGGGCCGCCGCCCACCCGGACGCTCTCCTTCCCCAGCGCACGGCTCCGACGCCGGTGTTCGCCAGCGGCAGAGTCGGATCGGCTCGCCGCCGGCCGGGCGCGGCTCGCGCTGGCCTCTGTCTGTGTGCCGGTGATCGGGCGATGAGCTGACACGACAGTCGGCCGGCCGGAATGGGGGACCAGAGCACCAGACGGCGGGTGAAGCTGTACGCGCTCAACGCCGAGCGACAGTGGGACGACCGCGGCACCGGCCACGTCACGTCCTCCTATGTGGAAAAACTGCAAGGTGAGGGTGCGAAGGTGACGGCGGGGGCGGGGAGGAATGGTGTCGGGGGCGGCGAGATGAGCTGATGTGTGTACGAACGAGTCATGTAACTTGTTAGTAACTTTCGTGACTGGTAGTTCCCCAAGATCCCAATGTTCGTATCGTCTACACAGTACACCGGCAGAAGTACCGGCTACACAAATTGTTTTATCTTCATCGTTTTTTTTTTTTTTTCATTACTTCACCTCTATCACGTTCAATGCGTCTTAGAGTGCACGGAGTGTTAAGCTGTGGCAGCCTGCGGCCCCGGGTGATGATTGTCTGTCTTTGCCCGCCAGGCGTGTCGCTGCTGGTAAAGGCAGAGGCGGACGGCAGTGTTCTCCTCGAGAGTAAGATACAGCCGGAGACAATCTACCAAAAGCAGCAGGAAACGCTGATAGTGTGGTCTGAAGGTGACAACTTCGACCTAGCGCTCAGCTTTCAGGAGCGCGCCGGCTGCGATGAGATCTGGGAGAAAATCTGCCAGGTACGACGAAAACGGAGACAGTAAATTGGAAAACATTTCAGTTCGCTTTGTCGACGCGTTACTTTGCTCCAGTTTTTTTTTTTTTTAACTTTGAAGTTTGGTATGTTGTTGAAGTCTTGATATCTCCTTCAGTGAGCGATGCTATTTATAAGCATCTCAACTTTACCTTAGCAAACAACGTCAAGCACGTTCATATCCAGTTTCATCTTGTGCTATCCAGAAGTCGTCACATAAATGTTTCCATGCTCTCCCGCGCCAAGGTGCCTCTGTTTGCCCGGTGAGCCGCGTCTGACGCCCGTCCCCGCCCCGTGCCACAGGTGCAGGGCCGCGACCCGTCTGTGGAGATCACCCATGAAGCGGTCGAGGAGAGCGAAGATGAACGGTTCGATGACATGTCGGACACCGTGCCGAGCATCGAGCTACCGGCGGCCGAGATGGCCCGGCTCGAGGAGATCTCAGAGGTGACAAACACGCGGCTGATCGGCTGTGGGGGTTTGTTACTGAGGGACAACTGAAGCCATGTTTTCATTTTATGATCCGTAATGATGTTTGCGTCAGTCAGTAGGTAGTTTCATTCAATTAGCATTCTGTCTTGAACTTCGTCTACCCTTTAGACACTTAACCGGCTTTGGTAGCGGCTGTCGATTCGTACGGCGCTGGCTATGTGCAGTTTCTCCGCGACCAACCTCTAACAATTATTACTATCGTCGCACACTGGCTGACGTCGCCCCTCTGGCCGTTTCAGCTCATCAACAGCTGTCTGCACTCTGCCATCAAGCGGGAGAAGCTGACGCTGGCCGTGGAGGCCGACAACTACATCCCCAAGCTGATGCGCATGTTTCAGATGTGCGAGGACCTGGAGAACACTGCCGGCCTGCACCACCTGCACGACATCATCATCAACCTGTTCCAGCTCAACAAGAACGCCCTCATCGAATCCATGTTTAAAAGTCAGTGCTCGGGGAGACGTGTGATAAATGTATTGTTTTTATTCTATCGGGCTTATATTCTATTTCGTTTAGTTGAGTTGTCTTCGATATCATTTCAGTCCAATCAATACTATTTCAATTTGACGAAAACCGTTATGCTGTATTGTCTTTATTTTTTTTCAATTCACTTTTTTCGTCAAGGAAGTGATACACGTAATATGATAAGCGTCACGCGATGTTTCTACTGACCCGGTTGGCGAAAAGAAGATACCGATTCCAGCAGATGGTAACCCATGCTTATTTCTGCTAGACGGGTCGATGAAGACCAATTCATTACAACCGAAGTTAGTCGGATTAACTATCTCAGTTATTCTTACCGCGTCATCGGCTGCTGTAATCGAACCCCCTCTGACGTCATCGCCGCCCTCCTCTCTGCCCCAGTTGACGTCATTTTCGACGTGGTCGGCTGCCTGGAGTACGACCCGGCCAACCCGGTTCCCACGCGGCATAGAGAGTACCTGAGGCAGATGGCGAACTTCAAACAGGTACGGACGGACCGACGGACCACAGCCGCTCCGGGCCGACCGCGCGGGAAACCCAGCCGATACCGAATCTAATCGCAAACCGGTTGATGACATTATCATGGCTGCATGACGGGTATCGGTAAATGAGAGCTTTCAGGATATGAGTGTTTGGGATGTATTGTGATGATCACATGTACCTATGTTTTGCCCCGCTCTGCGTCTGGTTGTGGTGTTATGAAGGCTGGCACCAATTTTGGGCGCATAAAGCATTGTTAAAGTGTTTCACTTATGGCGAATCTGCCCGGCGCCGCGCCCCTCGGGGTGGGGGCTGGGGGTTTGGTAACACATTGCCATGAGCTTTCCGTCGCCGCCGCCATCCGTGGCGCCGTGTATGTGTATCCGTACGACATTGTTCAAAATTATTGTACAAGTGTCTGAAGTGAACATTGTCTCATTCTTCCTTTAGTTTGATCTACCTACTGGTAAGTTTGTGTCAACTCAGAGATCCGTCCGAACTCCCAACACCACCCAACTAAATATCATCCACCACCCAATCTCCTCTCCCCCGCCCAACTGAAACTGTAACGGGTGAACTGTATGATAGACTATGACGGCACATTCACACACTGTGCGCCGCAGGTTCTGCCCATTCGCAACAGCGAGCTGTTGGCCAAGATCCACCAGACGTACCGCGTGCAGTACATCCAGGACATCGTGCTGCCGACGCCGTCCGTGCTCGAGGACAACGTCCTCTCCACGCTATCCAGCTTTATATTCTTCAACAAATTAGATATCGTTAGGCAATTACAGGTGAGTGCACGTCTGGATGAGATGTGTCGTGTGTGATAGTCTGTTTTTTTTTTTTTAAACGAAGCGCTAAAAATGGATGATAGACTCTTGAATGTTTGGAAATAAGTGACTTAAACTGCTGTGGCTTGCGGGCTGTGGCTGTATTTGTGAAGTCTGTCGTGCTTGCCGGCGATCTAATGTCTGATGACTGGAGCCTTGGCTTGCTGTTTTTGGTATTTATACATACAATGAACACCTGCAATTCGGTTGGTTACTCGAACATTTTCCTGAGGTTGACGCATTTCCATCTCGCTTCCAGGATGACGAGAAGTTTCTGACGGAGTTTTTCGCGCTGTTGAGTGACGAGAAGACGCCGATCACCAAGCGGAGAGACCTGGTGATGTTCTTAAAGGAGTTCTGTTCGTTCTCACAAACGCTGCAGCCACAGAGCAAGGAGACATTCTTCAAGGTGGGCGCGCGGCTGTGGCGATTTCAAACTTACTTATATGGTATCACGTAAACCGTTCAATTATGGGGTCGCATCTAAATTATTGTATCTGTCAACCTGGAATCTCCATGCAAGTACGGGGTATGCAGGAAGATACATGAAGTCTTATTGCTGAGACACTTTTTTCAGACCGTCTCAATTTCCCAATATCTCTCTGTGACTGATAATCTATCCATGTACGCAGCCGCTGTTGTCACTGGGTGCTCCCACGTTGTCTCACCGGCTGGCCACTGGTAGTCTTCCCCCACCTTTTGCCAACCGTGCTGGCACTGTGCCTCAGCGTCTGACCATATTCCTCTGTCCGTTACAGACGCTGCTGTCGCTGGGCGTGTTCCCACATCGTGTACCAGCGCCTGACCCTGTTCGCCTGTCTGTTGCAGATGCTGCAGTCACCGGATGTCCCCACGGTGTTTCTCAGTCTCTAACCATGTGCCCCCGTCTGTTACAGACGCTGCTGTCACTTGATATCGTGTTTCAGCCTTTGACCCTGTTCCTCTGTCTGTTACAGACGCTGTTGTCACTGAGTGTTCATCGTGTCCCAGTCTGTTACAGACCCTGTTGTCACTGGGCGTTGTGTCTCAGTCCCTGACCCTGTTCCCCCGTCTGTTACAGACGCTGCTGTCGCTGGGCGTTGTGTCTCAGTCGCTAACCCTGTGCCCCCATCTGTTACAGACGCTGCTGTCGCTGGGCGTGCTGCAGGCCCTGGAGACGACGCTGACGGCGTTTCTCATTATCTGACACTGTGTCCCCGTCTGTTACAGACGCTGCCTGTCGCTGGGCGTGCTGCAGGCCCTGGAGACGACGCTGACGGTGTTTCTCATTATCTGACACTGTGCCCCCGTCTGTTACAGACGCTGCTGTCGCTGGGCGTGCTGCAGGCCCTGGAGACGACTCTGACGGTGTTTCTCACTCTCTAACCCTGTGTCTCTGTCTGTTACAGACGCTGCTGTCGCTGGGCGTGCTGCAGGCCCTGGAGACGACACTGACGGTGGACGCCGGCCCGCTCTCCCAGCCCGGACAGGTCATCAAGTCGGCCTGCATCGACATCCTCATGTACATTGTGGAGACGGTGCCGTCCATGGTGCGCGAGCACATGCTGCAGCAGGCAGAGACCTGTGACGACGTGAGTTGGAGACATATTCAGCAGCAAGAGGAGGGTGGTCGCGGTGGTCCACTGGGGCGGGTGGGAGACATAGCACACAGGGTTTGCTAGTGTTTAGGTGTGTTTGGACGTCTCCTGGAACCGCAGCTTTCGCCTGGCGTAAGACCAGCTGCTCATAACTTGCTTGACTAGATTGTATTTAATCCACTAGCAGGTTTACACTGACCCATCTCCCGTCAATGAGTCTCCCCTCTCGTTCTTACAGGACCAGCTGTTGATGAACCTCTTGGTAGACCAGATGGTGTGTGACCGGGACCCCGAAGTGGGCTCGGCCGTCCAGCTCTCCGGCATCATACGCATCCTCATCGACCCTGACAACATGATGGCCGCCCTCAACCGCTCCGAGAAGACAGAGTTCTTCGCGTTCTTCTACAAGCGCTGTATGCACTGCCTCGTCGGTAGGTGCTTGGGCTGGGAAAAGTGGTGCTGAGGTTTGGAGGGAAATGTAGTGAGGGATTAATACTATGATGGAAGCGTAGTGCCAAATTATTTAATTGTGGTTTTACTGGCATTTGGGTTGATGACCTTAGATTAATTTGAGATACTGATGGCCTTTGGCTGTACCTTTCTGGGGCATTTTCCGCAGGTATTTGTAAAAAATTAAAGGATTTTGAGTTGGTAGATTGCGGGAATATGGTGTCGATTCCGACGGTTTGCTTTTCATGTGTGAAGCTGCGCGGATCAGCCGCTCGTTTATGAGTTTTCCTAACCAGCTCACCACGTCTTTTCCACCCCCGCAGAGCCGCTGATCAACAACACGACCAACAAGGATTTGCTGCACGACGACCCGGCCACGGTGCAGCTACTGAACCTGGTACTCGAGCTGCTGTCCTTCTGCGTCGAGCACCACACCTTCCACGCCAAAAACTACATCATGAACAAGGACATCGTCGTGCGCATCCTGGTGCTCATGAAGAGCAAACACAAGTACCTGGCGCTCGGTGAGTGCCGCAGGCAGACAGCTTTTGCTGGTTTGCTTTGTACAGAACACATAAGATTGAAGTCGAAGTGAAGAAAATCGTTGATGGGGCGTATCACATTGTTGACAGAGTGTTCTGCTTTGTGTTTTGTTGTTATGAAGAGCCGAGGTTTGTTTATGAGGATCATATCTATTGGTAACTAAATGCTGTTTCATGTCACTTATTTTCTGTCATCTGGACGTGATACACGAACCACCTGTTTCAAACATACGGCTCATAGCATTGATCTGTATTTGTTAGCGCATTCACACTGAACGATCACATTCCAACGTATTTTAGTCGTTAACATGGAGCTCAATCTGTTTTCGTCTCTCGCCACAGACGCTCTCCGGTTCCTGCGCAAGATGGTCGCGCTGAAGGACGACAACTACAACAGGCACATCGTCAAGAACAACCTGTTCGCGCCCGTCGTGGAAGCGTTCTTCAACAATCAGGGTCGCTACAACCTCCTAGACTCGGCCGTTATCGAACTCTTCGAGTTTATTAAGACGGTCAGTCGGGGCTGCGGAGTTACTTCTGTAACTAGATGGAAATGTAATGAGTAGCCTAGACCGGACGTTTTGTTGGCTCCATTTCGTTCGTTCATAGGGAGAACGTGTGCGATCTCGTGTTACTCATTTTGGAGTTAATGGCTTCATTATTTTGGCGAATGCAAAATTGGAATAGTTATCACTTTTATCGACCATCTGAGATTATATTTCTATCTGTTCCATTTCTATGCCAGGCCTAGATTCCGCCAGTGGTCACATGTGCTGTATTTCAGACTAAATTCACTTTCTTATGCCTGTTTGGTTTAGTTTAGCCTTTTCATTGAATCATCCACAGCCACGCACCCAATGAGGGATGATGTCATGATATAAAACAATCAAACATGGTGCCACTCAGCGTGTTTCAGTCTGTCTCGAGCTTCGTGTACTAATAAATCGTGTCTTATACCGGTATCTCCCTCCTGGTATCACACGTGTGACGTGACCCGTCCTCGGCACATCTCCCGCTCCAAGTTCTAACCACCACCTCCCCCCCCCCCCCGCCGTCCTCAGGAGGACATCAAGATGCTGCTGGCCTACATCGTGGAGACGTTCGGCGACAAGCTGCTGGACGTGACGTACGTGCAGACGTTCCGCAACCTGAAGCAGCGGTACGAGCAGCAGCAGGACCGGCTGCAGCAGCGCACCGCTGCCCTAGAGAGGTACGACTGGTCACGTCTGGTACTGGGGGCTGGCTCAGAGGGGAGGGGGTGGGGCGGGAAAAGGGAATATTTTAGTCACCTAAAGGAGCTGGGACAGTGTATGGTTAATTTGGTACGAGAGTCAGAACTCCGCTCTGGTGCGTAGGTACTTGTTCAGGATTATTAATGCAGTAATATTTTTGGTAGAGACTGCCGTAACTTTGATGATGAATAATTATTCATAATTACGCCCACTTTCTCATTTACTTACACAGTTTAGACATTGTGTGTAACTCTGCAGTGTTTTATATTCAATGGATGTATGGAGCTATCTCCATCTGCAATCAATACCAATCTCTCCGAGTTCTCCGTACTCAGCCCCACCGTTCTTCACGTCCCTATGGTAAGGGCGCGAGGCGGCTGCACGGTGCCCTGACTGTCTCCCCACCCCTTCCACTGCCAGCGTGCCGTCTATCCTGCGCGGCACGACGCGCTACCGCCGCGACCCTCGCCAGCTCGACGAGGACGAGGAGATGTGGTTCAATGACGAGGACGATTACGAGGATGGCGGCGAGCCGGCTCCGGTGGCCGGTCTGCACGGCCTGCACGGCTCCGCCGCCGCCGTCTCCGACCTCGAACAGATCGGTGAGCCGCGGGATGGGGGGGGGGGGGCCTCGTCTGTAATAATAGCGAGTAAGCGAGTGAGTGGTGAGCTCGGCTGTAATAGTGAGATGGTGAGCTCGGTGAGTGGTGAGCTAGGTTGTAAAAGTTTCCGTGGCATCTCATTGAATTTTTGTCTGGTCCGTTTGGACATCGTTCTCTGTGTCCTGCCTCCTGTGTTGTTTCCGCCACTTGTACTGGTTTTGCCACCGGAGATGTATTTAGTACGTCTTACACCGTAAACACACTCAACTGTTTCTGCGTCATTTTAATATTTAATTTACGTGCTCAGGTAAAATGATCGAGGGCCGGAGCAAACTCTTCTCTCCCTCCGGCGGCGACTTGTGCGTCGAGAAAACGGCGGCGTCTGCCGAGCCGGCGTGTGGTGGTGTGAACGGAGCCGCCGCGGCCGCGAAGCTGGGTCTGGTAGACTCTGCGCCGACCGCCGGATCGCCCACTGCCTCCCCCACGGCCTCCCCGACCACGTCACCCACCCCGGCCGCCGCCCCCGCCGCCGCCGCCGCCGGCGCTGCTACCGACGGCGTCTGTCTGGTGAAAAAGGTGAGGAGCTTGAAGGGTGAGGTGCGGGTGATTTGGGATTGAAATTGGTAGGAGCGATTATCAGTGCGATGTTCGTAATTTTTGGACGATGCGACGTTTCGACGGTGCAGGACGGGGAGATATGTACACCTTTTGGCTTGAAATAAAATTATTTCGGTGGCGATTTGTTTAGGGGTAACGTACTTATTTTGACACGTTAATGTCTGTAAATATCGCCTTTTCAATCTACAGAGCTCAGCCACCTAATAAAGTATATTAAAAGCCATAGTTTAACACCGACTCAGCTACTAATTTGTTGTGTGTGACATCCTCATACACAGCCACGTTTGCAACAAGCCCACCCCTCTGAGCATGAATGTCACGGCCCGTCGCTGACCGCCAACCCGCCTCCACTTAGGTGGGCCTGGTGGACTATGACGCCGACTCCGACGAGGAGGAAGAAGAGGGCGCTGCCATCAGTCCCCTGCTCATCTCCTCCCTGGTGGCAGCAGCCACCACCAACTCCCCCGTCTCCCCGAGCGCTGCCGCCGCCGCCTCCGCCCCCGTCACGACCGGCGCGATGGAACCTGACCAGTCGCAGACCCAGGTCACTACCACGTCTGATTCGACGGCCGCGGAGCCGGCGGCGACCGCAGAGACGGCGGACGGTGCCGTGGTCAAGGCGGAAGAGGCGCCAGCCGCGACAGAATCGACTCCGCCGGTGGTAGTCGGGTCTGTGGCGAAAGCCGGTGCGGTAGAGGCGACACAAGAGCGCTCCCCCGCAGTGACGACAGAGGCGACACCGCAGTGCGAGACAGAGGTTTCAGCGTCAGCACCGGCGGACAGAACAGAAGTGGCGGCATCTACGGGGGACTGCACATCAACGGACCAAAACTGTGCGGAAGCGGGGAAGGACAACAAGCCAGTGGACCAGGATGATTCAGTTGCCGATCAGGAGACGCCGGCTGTTGCAGAAGAATCGGTAACGAAACCTGCGGAGGTTGTGTCAGAAGATGAGAAGGGAGCAACTGCCAAACAGAACGGGGAGGTAGCGATGCAGACCGAGACAGCGTTGTCCCATCAGGAGACTGCTGTGGATGCACAGGAGTCGGCGCAGACGCAGCAGGAAGCAGAGGAACCCGTGCAGCAGGAGAGCACTCCTCAGGAACAGAAGACAGCGCCAGTGACTGCGTCCGAGCCCAGCGCGGCCGCGGAGCCGGCTGCGTGCTCGGACTCTGCGAGTTCACAGGACGCTCCGGCAGACCAGGAGGAGCTGTCATCAGCGTCCGCGGCCGACCAGCCGGCCGGCTCGCCGGCGGACCAGCAGCAGCCGCCGCCGGCCGCGGAGGTGGCGCGCTCGCCGCCGCGCGGCCAGCAGTCGCCGCCGCCGGACGCCGGCGAGCACCGAGACGCCGACCAGCTGCCCAGTGCCAAACGGCCACGGCTGGAGGCCTCGTGAGCGACCGGCCGCCGCCGCCGCCACCGCCCTCCGCCAACCTCCGCCGCCGTTAGCCACTAAGTGGTGTACAAATCTGACCGCCGGCCGCCATACTGAGGCGTCCCCGAGCGCGGCGCGTGCCACCGCGACGCGCGGGCCGTCGGGGTAGGACTGAGAGCTTCGTAGTGTGTACGAGCCGAAAAGGCAGCCGAGACGCGCGCTGCGACCCATTGGCGTTCGATGCGACATTCGCAGAATCAAGCACGCAGTGAACCAGCCTCGCAATCGAACTCGTTTCATCTAGACATGATTACCGACGCTGCCATAAGCGGGAGAGCGCACAGTTTTCACACGCGCGCGTCATGCGTCTGCGGCGGCCGCTAGTTTGTCCTTTCCGTTCTGGCACATGGACACTGTACAAAGCGGCTCCCGAGGCGGGCTTGTGCGGCGGACGGTGGCGCGATGGGCGCGCATATTTTTGTATACTTAAGGTCCCTAACGGGCGGCGGCGGAGGTCGAATCGTCTCCTGGGCGTGTGCGAGCTGCCTCGATGCCTGCACGGGTGTTTGAGAGTGAGTGAACTCGGGAGTGTGCGAGTTAGTGAACTCGGGAGTGTGAGTGTTTGGTGTACGAGCGGGAGCCATGTTTGGTGAATGTGGACGATGGGCCGCGGCGCGACGCACCGCGCGCGGCCCGGATTCGTACAAGTGGTCGACGTCTGCGCGACGACAATTAGGAGTTGGTCTGCGGCCGGGGCGCCGCGGATATGTCGCTCGGGTGTCGGCGAGCGCCGCGCGGCCGGCCCGCGGGGAGTCGGGTGGGTCGCCCCAGCCCCGCGGGGGAGCGCCCGCCCGCGCCGCCGCTGCCGGAGCGCGCGCTGCGTGCATAGTTCTGTTCAGAGGCAGGCGAACCGCGCACCCCTCCCGAGATCTCTTATGTTTTGTACACTGCTGCAGGCCGTTAGTGAGTTCGCAGAGACGTTGCCTTCTATTTCTGTGGCGCGCGCCATCCCTATGAACTCTTTTATTATTTGATATTAATAACGCCCCCCCCCCCCCTGTTTTACGCACTGGTTTCGAGGCGGCGCCGCGCGGGCCCGGCCTTCTTCTGTCCCGTTTTAGGTAGGAGCGGTGCCCTTGGTGCGTGTCTGTCGCGTCTGGCCAGCACTGTCGGGGCCGGCCACCCCGGCCCAGCAGCTGATGTTTCTCCTTCTTAAAATACAGAACGCGACCTTCACCCCTGTTTGCGGAATATGACGGTGGACTAGGTCACCCTCCCGCGCCTACCGGCGCTAATTGTAATCGTCGTTTGAACATCTATATAGAAATCCCTGCCCGTCCCGTCCATAATGCCCTTTTTCTCTCTCTCTCTCTCTCCTCTCTCTCTCTCTCCTCTCCTCCCTCTCTCTCTCTCTCTCTCTCTCTCTCTCTCTCTCTCTCTCTCTCTCTCTCTCCTCTCTTCTCTCTCC